ATCGTTGTTTTACATTGAATTCATGAATGAATGAATGATCGTTAGATCATCATTAAAAACCGGGAGGCATTGAACGGTCGCTTCGTCCTACTGTGGGACTCACCTGCGGTGCGCTTCTAAGAGTCCTGCCACTCGTAGGATTCGGACCTTCGATCTTGCGCGCCGATGCTTAACCACTGGACCATTGAGATGGCACTTAATGGTGTGAATGTCTAACTCTGATCAGTTTAATGATCAGAGGAAATTGTGGGAGCTAGAGTGAGAAGTTGTAACCAAGGTTGTGCATCCGCGCGCAAGACCGAAGGTCCTGAGCACGAATCCAACAAGTAGCAATAGTCGTGGATGCGCATAGCTAATGAGTCCCATAGTAGGACGAAATGACTGTCCAGTGCTTCCAGGTTTCTAATGATTTATTTATTTATGATTGCAACATAGATCATAACTGTAGGCGGTCATCTGTTAGGACATTCATCAAATATTCTAAGAGAATAATTTTTGTAAGTTTCATTCTATTGGTCAATACCTACTGGTCATTATTATGGTCGTCCTAACTGTCTACTTGACAGACTTCAATGTTGTTCCGTATTCGACCCAGCTGTTTAAATACGCGTTATTTGTAATGTCTTATGACCTGGATTCCTAGTCCGGAATCCTGATTCTCTTTTGGACTCGAACCTTCTAAATGCTTGTACAATAAAGGTTCTACTTCATATCAAGTCTTCTTCTTTTACTCAACGGGGGTTTGGGACAATTGGATTAGAATAGCTTGCCGTGTCGCCGGATCCTCGATATCATCATTCTCCGACTAAGATGAACTCGTAATTATTCAAGCATATCAAAATGACGTGTCGTAACATCATTCTAATTCCAAACTAACGAATTGGTGATAGTTATTTTTAATTCAAACATAACTTACTAATCTTGTCGGTGTAGATTGAAGTCTCTAAATATGTGTAATGACGACTTTTTATTGATCGACTTTATAGTAACTTTTCTTTGCCAACATTATTATTGTTGCGATTCATATTTTTCAAAATAACAAAACATTTAAGGGAGTAATAATATTCAGTTAATCAAAAAATAACAACAAATGTCACAGATACTCATTCGAATAAAGGTATACTAGAATTGCTATTATCATGAAGTCGGAAGAATTCCAAATCAAAAGTATATGTCATCCTATCCAATAACAGTGAATTTCTTAAGGGAAAAGAGTTCCAGAACATGTTACAGTATAAAATGAGACACGGCTCATTGGAAAGGAAACGAAAGGTAAATCAAACTATCAGTGACGACCTTGTAGCGTGTACTATTTATGTGGACGCCACCTGCCTTGTCAGCACGGCCTTTGGATAAATGAATTAATCCGTTCTTCACGAGTTATCAGCACATCTTTCGACCTTATCTACTACTCACTTATAACTTGGTTGTTTTTATTAGAAGTATGTGTGTGCATTGCTTATTATATGTGCAGCCGATTATCGTCTGACTATAAATCCGTATCTGGCTTTTTAATTTTCATCATCTCTACACATAAACGGTGTTCGATTGAGAATGATGAACGGAAATTAGATGTCAGATTTATTTCATGGTTCGTAAAAACTGAAGTTAGATTGCGGCTCACTAAAACCTCTATGAAAAACTTAGGCCGATTGTATGCATAACTCTACAATTATATGGCCTTCCTTATGTATGCACATGAAAGATCTTACATAGAGACAGGAGAGTTCGCTTAATAGGAATGCAGATGAAGAACCTATGTAAAACAGCGGCTATTAATATTGACTAATTCAAACCTGACCTTTGCCTTTGCCATCATTCAGTGAGCCTGAAACTTACTTTCAATTCTGTCAACATTTGAATGGGTTTATGAACATTTTGTTTTAACAGTTTTAATGCCGGGTAAGTTCTGGCTGATGCAGTGTTAAGCCTTCTGCTGATTGTGCTTGCACCATTGTCACCTTTGAAGTTGAGATTTAAAAATATTGGTTTTTTGTTGTGTGTAGTCACAACCGACTTGTATTCTATAGATTTCTTAAGTTTGTCATTGTGTTTCTGTAGGTCATTCCGAATACTGATCTGATAAATTACGCAAAAAATCCAAACATCAGTGATGTAGTATCATTAAACCTGATACTACATCATAACTATATAAAGCTGAAGGTTTCCTATTAGACCAGATGTTCGCTGTGAACATTATGGATGGCTCGGCATTGCTTTGGCAAATACTGCTAACAGTCCATATACCAATTCGGTTAGAAGGGTGACCGATTTCTAGTAAACCGCTCTTGACCTATCAACCTCCAAAGTCGTCCAAACACTGGACCCAACTAAATCACATCGCTAGCAGCCACCGATGGAGAGGTTCGATAGAAGACTGTCGCTCGTTCTGGGGCACATGTTTAGATTCATATCATGCCCTAGTGCGAGCGCGTATTTGTTTGTGACTTACTGGGCGTAGGAAAGACACCGTAAGGAAACCTCTTAGTGTTCTACCTATTGATAACAGAGCTATGAATATATTTCAGGAACAACTGGAAAGACGGTTAAGCGGCTATGCAAGTGATTCCCACCCCTAGACAGCTTGGAATGATATCCAAAAAGCTGTGGAAACACAAGTGATATTTGCCAGTAAGATATACTGTAAGTTTAGGACGAAGCCGTAGACTACAGTAGAATCCACCGAACTGACTGACGCTCGTAAACTCATCCCGTCTGGCTTTGAGTACGATGAGGAGAGGAGTCAGCTTAGGCACAGGCTGTTAAAAAGCCTACGCCACGACGGCCCGTCCTCGTGTGACAGTCACAGAGGAATCAGTTTAAATAATAAAAAAATAAATTATTGGCCTCAATAATACTTAGACACCTAACTAGAGCTCGTGAAGAGCAGACTAGAAAAAACCAGGTTGGTTTAAGACCTGGACGTGGATGTATAGACCACATCTTCACACTAATACAGTCCTAGAACATAGACACACGTTCAAACGCCCCACAAAATTAGTATTCCTCAATCATAAAGAAGCTTTTGACTCTGTCGATTTTGAGGTTCTGTAGCAGTGTCTGTCGTTCGTTAAAAGGTATACCAAAGAGGTACATTAACCTTATACAAGCTCTCTACTCGGACACTACAGGTCGAGTGAGAGCTTATGGCGAACTGTCATCGGAATTCTTTACTTCAAGCGGTATCCGTCAGAGATGTCCACTCTCCCCATTCTTGTTCAATTTTGTCAAAGACATGTTGCTAGATATAACATTATCTTCGTCTGAATTTTCAGGAATAGACGATAGATGATAGAAATCGATGGTGAGAGACCTTGAATGACATGACTCATAACCGTTTGCATTGTCGCAGGTGCATCCATTCTTTGTGTTCTCTCAAATCCTAACCTTCTGAATTCCTCATCACCTTTAGCTTTTTCTTTTAAAGTTTAGTTCACTATATTGTACTTCTTGAATAATATCGTCGGACCTTAATCTCTCCGATTACTGCTAATACTTCTACTACCTCTACTACAATGGGATTTGAATTGACAATAGCATCTCTGTGCTAATGTGGTATGGTAACCTGAACTGATGAACGTTCGTGCGAAGTCCTAAGTTGCAACTGACTGACTTACTGATACTGGTGGCTGTTTTGCAACATTCCTGAGAGCGATTGTCATTCGGGTGTTGTATTATGTATCACTATTGCTGGGCAGTCATGTAAGCGAGAGGGGTTGAATTGTCCTGTTCATGGGGAGTAGATTGTTTGACGCGATCATGGATCGGAAATAATCTATATATATATATATATATATATATATATATATATATATATATACTGGTGTATACGAATAGTGTGGTTCCACCACGGGATTGAGCCAAACTATTCACGTTGAAATGCTAACACGACGTCAGTCTCCTTAGTTCTCCTGAAAACCAATTTAAAATTATCCTTGTGACAATGGAGGGTTGATTTATATCATTATGAAAAGTTCATATAATAATCATTAAACCTCCTAATTTAAAAATGTGGCCTTGAAATACACTGCATGGAAATGTTATCACGTTATTTAACTTACTATGATGCTGACTGATTACCTTTTTTCATATGTCAGATCAGTCAATTTTGGAACGATTGTACGAGCAACAGAATCCTTTGAATAATTTTCCAATGAAAAGAAAAAAACTATTTTTACTGCTGGGAAAGTTTTATTTTTTTAGAAAAATGGAATTGAAAATTGAATAGTTACAAGTTATCTCTCATTAATAGAAAACTAAATAACAATATATTGTTGTTATTGTGACAAGGTTGGAGGAGATAGGAACGATGGGGGCAGGTTGATGAAATTAAACCGATTTACCATGGCAACAAGCATAATGTACTTTGTATTAGTTTCTTTTTTTCTTAATCAATTCTATACATTTGCATTTATAGATGTAATTGCACACACACCAAAAAAAACCAACCTTTTATTGATTTACTACTGTACAAGTACTAAATCAGTTCGCGTTGTGGTTCGATGAAGTGAAACCAAAATACACACACTAGATACATACATCGTTGAATAAAAGTATTTTTGACGACAATAATAATAATAATGATAAGTAATTTCAAATTATTTTATGTCAAAGGTCGATTTTTGTTTACAGGAATGTGACCAGTGGAGTTCAACCCTGTCGGGTGTGAGTGTAGGCACTAACTACCGATGAGATCGCGTAAAATCTCTAGATTGATCAGAGTTAGACATCAGCACCGTTGGATGCCGGCCCAGTGGTCGTACGTCCGCGCGCAAGTTTCGCGTTCAACTACTGCGATTAGCAGAAGTCGTGGACACGCTCTGCCGATGAGTCCCATACCAGGACGAAACGGTTGTCCAGTGCTTGGAGGTTTTAATCGGTGATCTAACATTGATTGATGATTTCAACGTGATTCATTAAGATGAATGTTGTTTACAAGTATCGGTATTTTGTAATATAACAATAGCAGCCCTTGAAATTCTGAACTTAGTTTCTAATGACATTAAGGACGTGCAATGACTTGGATTTTCTGTTGAGACATTAACCGATTGTTGATAAACCAATCAAAAACCGAATTCACTTGCATATTAAACGAGAAAATTTGTTTGTTTAGAAAATAATATCTTATGTTGATATGCCCGAAACTAGTACGAGTTGACCTTACTCGGTAAACGGAACAAAGCTCAACGATGCAATGATACGATCGGCTATTCTAATCCGATTGTCCTATGCCCCGCTCACTAGAGCAAGTTGACTTGATAAGGCGTGGAGAATGTATTCTACAGGCACTTAGAACGGTTTACGTTGCTAAGCACACAACACAAGCTAATATTTATACAATGATAGAAACGCCCTTGGTGAGAACCACAAAACAACGTACTAAAATAATCCACCGACCAATGACATTCAAGGAGTTTTCGAGTGGTAAATGTAAGCTGAAGGTCAACTAAGCGCCTTTGGCGCGAAAACACAAACACTAAGCAATAAATTACAAAATGAGGACCTTTTCCAAGTGAGTTCTGGGGATCCCACGTCCCCAACACATATTTATTTGTAAACTTACTAGCATATTTCGTCAACTAAGGTCTAATACTTTGAAGTTTCTTTTTTTAAGAGATTAAGTTGGTATCAAACTGAAGAGTATGATACTGAATAACAGAGCTGGAAGCTTGAAGAGAATAAGGAGTTTTCTTTCTCTTAGATATCTCGTTCTTATAGTATAGTGTTTTAACTGTTTGACGTGAATGACATACGAAACTGACTCGCCTCAATTCTCGTGACGTGGTTATACTTAAAGGAGCGAATTGACGATGAGAATAAACGAGAGATTGAATATTCTGGACGCCAATAATGTGCTTCTAGTGTCAGTAACTTTCAGTACACAAATAGCCTGTTGAGTGTGAGAGATAACAGCCGAGTGAAACAACTAGTTATATATAGCTCCAGTTTATGAATTACATACACGCATAAAGCGAAACCCTGACTAAATATTAATGGAAATGCTAATTTGGGCATAACTGATCTGAAGTTTGTGCTGATGATGTTGTTCAGAAGAACAATGAAAGCTCTATAACCAAAACATCCAGCTCAGAGAACGAAACACCACCACAATAACTGATAAAGCTCTGATTGGAAAATTCTAAATAATTGACAGAAAATCACATTTATTTATGCGTCAAACATGAACTTATAAGTAGGACGATACATAATTATACAACTGGGGTCGTTACAGAACTGCTTCTGTGCTTTGTGTTTATCGCGATGCAGTCATAAGCTAAGTGTATGTGTTGATGATAGTTAGTTATTCATTATTCGGTAATGGTACATTATGGGAAGAGATGTTTAGGTGCGTTAAACACAAATCTCCATAGCTTCAGTTACGATCTTGTCAACAAATTCACTATCTCTATCTACTGACTGACTATTCTCAGTTTGACAATGAAATCCTTTAACTATACTATGGTTTTGAAGATATTTAACACTGGCAATCTACTGATGTTACAACACTTGAAGTCCATATTTTAAAGCTGTACTTTGTGCAGTAATAAACTGTTAAATTACTTTTCAGTCAACAGATTAGGATCGCGTTGATACTACAGGCACGTAAAATTAGTCAATTTCTTCAATTTCATGATCTATCCAAACTCATTATAGCTGGAATATGAAAAACGGTCAACTAGTCTACTCGCTATGAATAATTGCTTAATAATCTGTGAATAATATGACGTTCCCAGAGTAATATCGCTGTCAGTAGCTAATCTTTCGTAAGCAAATCCTAATCTTCTGGATTCGTCAGCACCTCTACCTTTGTCTTTCTAACCTTATCTCACTGAATTATACTTCTTGAATAATATCTTCAAACCCTAGTCTTCTTTATTAACATTAATACCTCTACTATCTTTATCACTATGGGATTTGATTTGACATTTGCGTCTCTGTGCTAATGTGGTATGGCAACATGAACTTATGTACATACGTACGAAGTTCTACGTTGCAACCGACTGACTGATGTTGCACAGTTATTTACGTCTTAGATTGGTTATGTATATTGTTATTTTTGAAGAGTTCAATCTGTTGAAAATAAGGTCACAGCCAAAAATTTGTTTATTCTGAAGAACGAAATATATATTTTAGTACGAAAATGTATTTGAAGAAAGCATGTATACAAGAGGAAAAAAATAAGTCTTTCAAGGTAGAAATGGTGGAAAGTATGTACAGAAACTTTAAAAAAAAATTCATCAGATCAAATTTGTACAGGTTTCGATTCTTCGCATTGTGTATCATTATTCACAGGAAATGAGATTTGTTTTAATGAATCTTGTAGTTTTTCCATTTCCAAACATTCATGACCAAGTTGTTCAATTTCTTTCAAGTTTAAATGAACAAAATCTTTTTTCATTTTGAACTAGAGAAGAAATAAAAATGCATATTACGGGGTTGTGAAGATTGTTAAGTTACACATTTTTGAAACCATGAATCGATCAATGTTAGACCACCATTAGAAACCTGGAAGCACTGAGAGACGGCCGTTTCGTCCTGGTATGGGACTCATCAGTGGCAGTGCGCATCCACGACTCCTGCACCCCGCAGGATTCGAACCCAGGGCCTTCGGTAATGTGCGCAAACAAGTAAACTCTATCTCTAAGTAAGAATGTGATGAGATGAGATACACTGTTGAAGGTAACTAATAACACGGTTAGATATGGTGTCTTTATGCCAACATTATTTTTTCTACTTTTGAATAAAAAGAAATGAAATCCTCAGAGTTTATACATTTATTAGATTACATAATTTAGCTAGTTGATGAGATTGGAAAGTATGACTGGCTAGAAAACTTACTGTGTTAAAGAACTAACCAGAATCCCGTGGAGAAATAAAACAGGAAGAAGCACTGGAAGTGGATAGGATACACATTGAGTAAAGCATTCAACTGCGTCACAAGACAAGCCGTCACTTGTCACCCTCAACTTCAAAAGAAAAGAGGGAGGCCAGGGAACACATCACGCCGAGAAACGGAGACAGACATGAGAAGAATGAACAAAAATCGGACAGAACTGGAAAGGAAAGTACAGGACTGAGTAGGTTGGAGAATACTGGTCGGCGGCCTATGATCCATTGGGGGGGGGGTGGTAACAGGCGTAAATAAGTAAGAAGGTAAGAGTGACTAGAAGAGCGATGAAGTATTATAGTTCAACTCTATGCTAGTTGACATTGAAGTAGGTAGTTGGAGAAGATTTAACCTCTCTTGTACTATTTGTGGATTAGGCAGAAACATGTATCTGTTATTTCCAGTGAAATGATGCCCACTGTAGGATTCAAACAAACGATGCAGTCAAAAATGTTTATACACAGCTAGTTGGTGGGTTATGATCGATATCATATTATCCAGTCTTAAGTGCTGATTGAATTATACTGATTATGCTGTAACTCTGTCCAGTAATATGGAGCTTAGGTTCGAGGCTTTATGCCAATCTCTCCTTCAACTTCACAACATATAACACGCGAAATCTCTTTTGGCTAGTGAGATAGGAAAAGACACAAGTTTCCCAGCAAAATCCGAGAAAACAACCAAAGTCAAAGCTTTGAGTGTTAAAATTTATCAAGTCATATCGGTGCAGATGTATTCATGCAGCATATTCCTCTAAATATTGGATATATATTCTTTACACACTGAAATCATGAATCAATCATTACTAGACCACCATTAAAAACCTGTAAGCATTCGACGGCCGTTTCACCCTGGTATGGCACTCATCATCAGTGCCCATCCAATATTCATGCACCTCGCAGGATTCAAATCCAGGTCCTTCGGTCTTGTGCGCCAACGCCTAACCTCTGAACTACTGGGCCGGCATCCAACAGTGTGAATTGTCTAACTTTGATCAATCTAGGGATTTTGTGCGACCTCACCCTATCGTCTTCGGTAGTTATTCCTCACATCCAAAAAGGGTTGAACTCCATTGGTCACGTCTTCTCAGTAGAACTCCGAGAGTTTTCTCATGAAACTAGTCACTAGTGAGCAGATTGTATTTACACATCAATCTAACAATGATTGATTCATGATTTCAATGGGTAAAAACGGTGTTCTCTATTGCTCTCTAATTGAAAAATATGAATGCTATTTAACTTCGCTTTTTTCCATATATCACTTTCTTCAATGTTCTACTACACCTCGTATCATTATTCTAAGCAGTTTTAATCGGTTTTTTTACTCATACAGACCTAAGTTTTATCTACATTAGGATTAAATATGAAAAATTTATAGATTTACGCTATAAAAGACTACCTAATAAAAATGAATGAAATCAACGTAAGCTGGTTATTTTTTAATAATTGAACTGAATGAATAGTTCTAGATTTAGTCAAGAAACTTCGAATTCAAACCGATCAATAAATCAAATACAACAGGGCATCCACCAATGAATAGTTAGTTCATTCACAGTCAACCAATGACGCACACATTGAAAAAATTGTTCAATAAAATATTAGTTACTTGTAAGTAATATAATTCAAATGTATAAATATGACAATAAAGACGAAACAGGGGAAAATGTAATCATTAAAACGAACAACACCAAATAATCGTCAATGAAAAAAACAAAACAAGTGTACACAAATTTCCTGTGAATGTATGAAACATAAAAGAACTTACTTGTTCTAGACTCTTGCCAAGATTATGTAGGTTTGATTCACTGAATGAAAAATAAATAATGAAAAATAGTGGAAATTTTTTATTCATGTAAGAAGGAATGTTGTGAGAAAGTGTCTTTGAGAAAGCCTACGAAGAACCAGAGATAAATAAAGAGAGACTAGCGAAATACATTAAGATAATAAGAGACTTCCGTAAATCTCAGAAATAGGTTTATTGAATTGACATGATAAAGTTCACATAGTGGTTTTAGCTGAATTAACATTGAAAGTAGGATAGCTGTTTCGTTCTAGTATGCAACTCCTGAGTAGTACGAATCGAAAAACCCGTTAAACAGAATCGAACCCGGGACTTAGGTCAATTACGTTTAACCTCCAGAGTAAAGGGGAGGGAAGGTTGTAGAGATTGTTAGATTTCGAAGGTTTGTCACACGGATTCAGTCAGTCAGCTACAACGTCGAGCTTCGTACGTAAGTACATAAGTTCAGATTGCCATACCGCATTAGCACAGAGACGCAACTGTCATTTCAAATCCCATAGTGGTAGATAGTAGAAGTATCAGCGGCAATGAGAAGATTAGGGTTCGAAGATATTGTTGAAGAGGTATAATTCAGTGAGATAAATTTAGAAAGAGAAAGATAGAGATGACGAGTTCAGGTTATTATTGCAAATTATTTTGAGACATGTCATTCAAGGTCTCTAACTATCGGTAACTACTATCTCGTGGAGTCCAACAAGGTAGTCTGCACCTACCAACGTGGTTCAGTCCACCGGTCAGTGACTTTATGGATTTCTGCCATGTTTTGGTTTCGCTACCCCTATCTTTCTTCCAGCCTATCTGTACACCACAAAACATTGCTTGTCTAGGAAGTTGGTGGTTGGGCATTCGCAACACATGTCCAAACCACCTCAAATGATGAAGTTCTAATACCTAGTACTCGTTTCCTAACAACAGCATTGCTCACTCGGTTGTCCCAGGATATACGAGCAATGCTTCGAAGACACCTATGATCGGAAACCAGTAACCTACGAATATCTTCTACTCTGATCGACCATGTTTCGCGCCCATATGTTAGGGCGGAGAGAACGGATGCGCAGTACACTTGTCCTTTGGTTAGCAAACAGATATCACTCCTACGCCATAAGTGACGCAAGTTGGCAAAAGCCAATAGAGCCCTCTGTATCCGTGCTGAGATTTCGTCAGTCACCATGCCTTTGGTACTGATGAGACTCCTCATGTAGTTTAGAACGGGGTTTCAGGAGACTAAGAATACCGTTTCGCGAACTCGAGTCGTTTGCATTAGCCGTGCAGAGTGATAAAGGGATGTGAGAAGGATGAGTCTCGGAGATAAGAGAGATGTTAGGGGTGTGTAGGAAGGGTTTGATTGTGACCGATTCGGTCTCGTGTGTTGTTACGGGTGTGAGGGCGGATGTCACTCACCGGCTGCCCACACCGTGGAAAGGTGTTTCTTGAGGAACCTGAAAAGAACAGTAGTTTAGTGTTTGTTTAAGAGACCTAGAAGAGTGACCGCAGAGTTCAAGGGATAACTGCTTGAGGCAGGTCACGCACGACCTTTTGATGAGAAGTTTTTTGAGTGTTAACTCCGCTCTTCAAAGCCCTTAGTGGGCACCCTTACCACCGGAGACGGAAATCCGTGAGGTAAGGTAAGGTGTGACATTTTCAGGGTTGACCTTTTCTAACATTTCCTTCCTTGTGAGAAGGCAGCATTGCTGCAGATGCTGGTTGTCCGAGGGAAGCACCTTACTGCTGTCATATCGCTCTACAGTCAGCAGTACAACTTCGCCCTCAGACCTTGAGGGCGAAATCACACACGGAATGATCTTAGTTAAACAATCAGGGAGTACTGGATAACTGTTTTTTTAACATGGGACCGCTGGGAATTGAATTCGGAGTCTTTGAGTGAGTGATAACAACAAAATAATAATGAACTTACTACTACTAATAATAGAATTAAACATATACACATAACAAATAATCACATATTGAACTTTTTTTCAAAACTAACCATGCTCGTGTTTGAATCCATACAATATAATCATTAAGATATAGTTCTGCGAATACATGATAACCAGGATAGGCGATTAAAAATTCACGAATTTCTAATAGACACTTTAAACACCATTGTATAGCTATGCAGTAGAGAAAAGATGAAAGAAAAGAAGGTGGAAAAAACAACAACTGAAGTGTTTGTATCAAACAGAGACCTCTATGTCGTTTAATCCTCTTTTCACAATAGAAAGCAAAATAAAATTGATATAGAATACGTAATCAAGATAGCTGGTAGAATAATAGATTGGTTGTACACAGAAGCAATTCTGTTATTCGGAACCGGGAGCTAGGTAAGGTTAGTAGGTCAATAGATGAAGTGGTGAAACTTCATCAGTTGAGGTAGTTGGGACATATGTTATGTATACCTGACCACCGACTGCCTCGTCGAGCCATATTTTGTGTGTAGGAATAGGTTGAAAGAAAGCTAGGGTTGGCCAAACCAAAACATGGCACAAATCCATGAAGTCACTGACAAGTGAACTGAGTCATGTCGGTAGGTGTCGACTACCTGGTTGGGGTCCGCGAGATGATAATAATCGATGGTTAGAGACCCTGAATGACATGGCTGAAAACCGTTTGCAATGGCGCCGGTGCATTCATTCTTTGTGTTCTCTCAAATCCTAAACTTTTTCAATTCTTCGTCACTTTATCTTTATCTTTTTAAGTCAATCTCACTAGATTCTACTTCTTGAATAATATTTTCTAATCCTAATCTCTGATTACTGCTAATACTCCTACTACCTCTACTTCTATGAGATTTGAATTGACAATTACATCTCTGTGCTTATGTGGTATAGCAACATGAACTGATGTACGTACGTACCTACGTACGAAGTTCAAAGTTGCTATTGATTGACTGGTTGATGCACAGAAATTAGAACCAATTGACAGATTGCGATAGCCTCTCCCAAGCAAAAATTTCTGATTCAGAGACATAATGAACTGGTTTCCTGATTTTGTAGATAATCTTAAATGACGATTCTTGTGGCTGGTTTAAGGTGGCCAACAAATTACTTGACAGCTCACTTCTCAAATACATGCCACTTTGAATTTCATCGTTCAGGGCCCAGATAGGGTCTGGATCAAAAACGTGCAGATAGTTGAAGCTGTTACAAATCATCAATTGTTAGTAAATTTTTTAAAGACAAAACAGTGCTACAATGCGTTAGATTATAAATCCGAGAGTTGAAACAAAAAAATCCTAATAAATTCATTAAACACAAGTTCACGCTTCTACTTATACGATATACGGATGGTAGCACTTTTTATTGACGACTAACTTTATGAAGTAAAGATACTTTGAAACTTACACATTTGAAATCATCAATCAGTCGTTGTTAGACCACCATTAGAAACCTGGAAGCACTGGACGGCCGTTTCGTCCTGGTATGTGACTCATCAGTGGCAGTGCGCATCCACGACTCCTGCATCTCGCAGGATTCGAACCCAGGACCTTCGGTATTGTGCCGGCTCAGTGGTCCGATGGTTAGGCGTTCGCGCACAATACCGGAGGTCGTGGGTTCGAATCCTGTGAGGAGCAGGAGTCGTGAATGCGCACTTCTGATGAGTCCCATACCCGAACGAAACGGCCGTCCAGTGCTTCAAGGTTTTTAATGGTGGTTTAACAATGATTGATGATTTCAAATGTGTAAAAACACAAACTTCCAAAAACTCTGCCCCAAAACTTTGATACTTATCTATGTGTCATTCACGTTGTGTACATTTGGAAAATAAACTGAGGCTGAGGACTCAGGGATAGCCTATTGAAATTTGAACTGTCTGCCTACGTCCTAACAAACATGCACATAGTGAATGAATCTCAAATTAATAGATTAAATAATGTGAGTGCATTTAAAATATATACTGACTACACTGTCCTGATACCGATATGATCTTTACACAGTTAATTTTAATTCTAAAACCAATCAAAAAAGTAACACTTTGAAGCTTTATTTGTTATTAGAATCGATGATGACTACATAACGTACAATATGAGAAGTCCTAGACGGTCAAGCACTAAGAACCTCAGCTTCAAAGAGTTAAATTCACCGAAAAACAATTTATAAACTTTTGAAACGGTGATTTAATTACTCGTTATTTGTCGATTTTTTAATCTACTTATGAAGTATACATTCCACAGAAGATGCATTTCTCCGATTTCTTCTCGTGGATACTTCATTACAACGTTGGCATTCGTACGCGAGACACTGAAGGTCCTGGACTCGACTCTCACGTGTGTGGTCGTGAATGTGCACTGCCCAGTACTATATTAGGATGAAACGACCATCCGAACATTCTATGTTCTTCAATAGTCGTCTAACATTGATCGGTTCACAATTTCAATGACATATCTAGTTTTTTTTTTAGCTAAAAATTCTAGTCGATTTTCTTCTAAATTTACTTTATATAGAAACAAACTAATGTAAATTATGATTAAGCTTACTATTAGTATGTTGTAAAAGACGAGAAGCATCTCGTTTAATAAGTGTACAAAATCTCCAATTTCGTACAAGTGGATAAGTTAAAGCACGTCTATAGAATGATACAACCACTTCCGGTAAAGAATGATAAACCTTTAAAAACAGAAAAAAATAAATACAGAAATCATTTATCCGATCAAGTAGTGCATATTCTTTACTCGATAACTAGTACCATAATGCATAAATCTAGGTGATATCTAATTACTTTCTGTTCATGAAAAGGAGGGAAGAAAATGAATAACAATAGGAGACTACCAAACAACACATAGGGTGAAGTTGGAAAAAAAAACCTTAGATTGTTCAAAAGTTAGACATTAACACCACCAGCTCGGTAGTCTAAAGGTTAAGCATTGGCGCGAGAGACTGAAGGTCCTGGGCTCGATTCCCGCGAGCAGAGATCGTGGATGCACGCTGATGAAGAGTCCCATACTAGGACGAAACGGCCGTCCAGTGCTTACAAGCTTCTAATGATGGTCAAACAATGACAGACAGACAGATACAACGCAGAACTTCATACATAAGTACATTAGTTCAGGTTGCCATGCCCCATCAGCACAGAAACGCAACTGTCAATTCAAATCCAAGAGTGATAACAATAATAGAAGTATTAGCAGTAATTGAGAAGATTAGGGAGCGAAGATATGATTCCAGAAGTATAATTCAGTAAGATAAATTTAGAAAGAGAAAGATAGAGATGATGAGGAATGCAGAAGGTTAGAATTTCATAGAACACAAAGAATGGATGCACCTGCGCCATTGCAAACGATTTTGAGCCATGTCATTCAAGATCTCTAACCGTCGGTGACTTTCGTCTCGCGGACCCCAACCAGGTAGCCTATATCTACCAACATGACTCAGTCCACTTGTCAGTGACTTTATGCATTTCTGCCATGTTTTGTTTTGGCCGCCCCTAGCTTTCTTCCGACCGGTTCTTACACCACAGAACATAGCTCGTCGAGGCAGTCGGTGGTTAGCCACACGTAACACATGTCCCAACCATCTCAACTGATGAAGTTTCACTACTTTATCTATTGATTTGCCATCCCTACCTAGAACTCGTTTCCTAACGACAGCATTGCCTATACGGTTGTCCCATGATACACGAGCAATGCTTCGGAGACATCGATGATCAATGTCAAACAATGATTGATTCACAATTACACCGTAAAATACAATAAATAGAAAAAGTCAGAATAAATTACCTCAAACCATGATAGTGTTGCTGCAAGTTTCACTATATTCCAACCGGATTCAGTCATTGTTTCACCTTCACGAACTCTATAATCATATATATAAGCAAATAATAGATCAAGTAGACCTAAATATAATATTTTTTCTTCAACAGCATTATCAGGTGGAAGAGGAAGTCGACGAGTTGATAAAGTGATCAAACGATGCCGTTCATCAGATGAGAATTCTGGTGAATTGTTACTATCATCATTAAGAGACCATGGTAGATCAATATTTTTCATATGAATCCAAGTGTCTGATTCAAAATAATCAGCACTGAGATTTTCAGATGATGATTATAACAGAAAACGGAAAACAAGAACAGAAACAAATATGAAAGATGGATGAAAATATATTGAATATTAATGAGTGTGTAAAATAATTTGAGGCTTAAAACTGTTTGCAATGGCACAGGTGCACGCATTCATTCTTTGTGTTTATCTGAAATCATAACCTTCGGAGTTCCTCCATCACCTTTATCTTTTTAAATTAATTTAACTAGATTCTACTTCTTGAATAATATCTTCAAAACCGTAATGCCTCCGATTACTGCTAATACCTTTACTACCTCTACTACTATTGGATTTGAAGTGACAATTACACCTCTGTGCTAATGTGGTATGGCAACATGAACTGATGTACGTACGTACGTACGTACGGAGTTCTACGTAGCTATTGATTGATTGAATGAAGAGTCAAACTAACTTGAATGAATGACATTGAAAATCTTGAAATCAATAACGGAACAGATCTGTTTACAATAAATACAGTGGTACTGCAGGATATGGAATGCATTTGACAAGCCTCATTTTGTGAAGTATATAAGGCATATTAAATGAGATAAACTAAGTAATAATGACAACCAACAAGGAGAAACGAGGATTAAACACGAAAAACTGTCATTAATAAGAAAAATGTTTAATGAATGCATAATAAGTGAAAGTGGCAACTTGGAGAACCATGAAAGCTATCATCCACAAGATACAAGTGTTTATTAACAGTTGTTCATGCAAGAGACCCTAAGAATCCATTGGTCAGCCACAATCAGCAACAACCTACTGTGGGAGAGGAAGAAATTACGAAGAAGCACTACAAGTGGATCGAACACACATTGTAGGGATCAACCAACTGTGTCACAAGGCAAGCCCCAAGTTGGAATCCTCCAAGTCAAAGGAAAAGACGAAGATCGAAGAACACAATGCACCAGGAATTGGAGACAGACATGAAAATAATGAACAGCAATTGGGTAGAATTGGAAAGTAAGGCACAGGAGAGAGCAGGTTGGAGAATGCTGGTCGGCGGCCTATGTTACATTAGGGGCATCAGGTGTGAGTAAGGTAACACTTAGTGAAGTTTTCTATAATAGCCATCATTGTAAAGTTGAAAAGTTCTCACAGCTACTAGTATCAAAACTAACAAACTTCACATGAAATCGTACTGACAGGAGGTTCTAATTTATACTAAATTTAAGCAAACGAGGTGGCTGAGTGAACTAACGGATCGGTGGCACAAGTGTTCTATCTATATTCACCAAGTTCCAGTTCGAACCCTATTCCAACTAATGCAGCTTGGGTAAATCAGTAATACCATTGAGCCTCACACTAAACGAGTGGTGTAAGTTTGTGTCTGGTGACATCAGTAGACCAATCAAATATAGTTTATATTCTGAAATGAAGAGTAATTATTGTTCATCAGGAATATTTTACAAAGAAAATTCTCTATGAAGCTTGCCAATAAAAGCATTTAAGTACAGTTTATATTATTTTATTCGTTAGCCTAAACACACTTTTGAATCAAAAGCTCTAGAATTATGTTGCAGAATTTCATTACACCTATGAACGATTTTCGAGGTAACTCGCATCTTAAAGCCTAAAGTACAGTAATAAGACGTAGTGAAATTTAAACCATTCAATATAAAACCTGAAATTTACAGCAGTTATTATTGTTAGCATATTTCAAGCCACTTCAGTTTTAACGGACGAATAATAATCACTATCATTGATAAAAAATTCAGCTTTAAGCTGTCCATTCATGGAAATATACCAACTAATGAATGATAATTTCTCTGGATTAGAGTCTACTGATTACTCATTATAGCATGGATAAATTTTTAGAAATTAGTATACAACTCTGCAGCTTAAGGTACTGAATAGGGTTGAAAATTAAAGCTAGCAACAATCTGTTGTCAGTCTTCTAGATGGCAAAATATATAATTAGTAACTGAATGCAATTTAGCTTTTATCTGTGTTCTTACCCATCTTTAAATATTTTTCATGAATTGTCTAACACATACACTTGTTGATCTTCTCTAGTTGTAAAGTGTAAATTTTATATTCTGTGTAATAAAACTCTAAATTTTTCTTTGAAAGAATAAACAAAAATCAAATCAATGAAATTCAAAAGCAACTACAAGTTAAAACTCACAGATAATGATCAACTAGAAATTTTTTCTCTTCATCCATTGTTCTAAGATTTGATCGTTTGAAAATATCAACAGAATCTGGGTTAGGCAAATCCACTACATGTGTTAAATCCGACTAAGTAGTAATTTTTTTTTTAATTTAAAAAAGAAAATTGGTAAATGAAAAAGAGAAGATGGTAAACAAGATATTTTTAAGAAAATGACTTTATTTTAGTGTAACTCAAGCATAAGCAACATAGAACTTGGGATATATATATATATATATATATATATATATATATATATATATATGTATATATATATATATACATGCATTACGGGGTCGTGAAGATTGTTAAGTTACACATTTTTGAAACCATGAATCGATCAATGTTAGACCACCATTTGAAACCTGGAAGCACTGGACGGCCGTTTCGTCCTGGTATGGGACTCCTCAGCAGTGCGCATCAACGACTCCTGCACAACACAGGATTCGGACCCAGGACCTTCGGTATCGTGCGCGAACGCCTAACCATCGGACCAACGGGCCGGTATCTAGATGGTGTTAATGTCTAACTTGATCAAATTCACGGAGTTGCGCAACCTCATACACAGTCTTCGGTAGTTACTGCCTACACCCGAATGGTTAGGCGTTCGCGCACAACACCGAAGGTCCTGGGTTCGAACCCTGCGGGGTGCAGGAGTCGTGGATGCGCACTGCTGATGAGTCCCATACCAGGACGAAACGGCCGTCCGGTGCTTCCAGGTTTCTAATGGTGGTCTAACATTAATCGATTCATGGTTTCAAAAATATATATATATATCGGTATAAGTCGCCAAATCAAACCCAAGGTATTTGAAAGGACACGGGTACTCTACCTTGATGAGTTACATTTATAGTGTAAAAGAAGCAACTGCTAACGCGTCCAGGCTGTCTATAATCAGCGAGATATTGTATGTAGTGTGGTGAGTACATAGGGTGATAATGAGAATTCTCCACGAACACCTGTAACTTTCAAAAGGTTTAGTAAACTTGGGTGCGTGCAATTATGCCAGTAATGCTGCTCGAACGCAAAGGATTTGCCATCAAAAGCCATTGCAATGGTAGACGCTGTTAAAAGGTATATCAACAAGAACAACCGAGATCAATCTTAAAATGCTTACTCAATGGATAAAAAATCGACGTGCAGTTAACTAAGGACAAGAGTCAACTGACTCATGTAGGCCGAAAGGAGAAGAAAGGATTCTACGGAGATCTATCCAAGTAGCAAAAGCAGCCAGGAGACGCCTAGAAGACCTGATCGTAAGGCCAGGTATGTTTACAGCAGAAAAAACAATCTGATCACCCAAGTCCTTGTCAATCGCCTTGAATCTCAGTGTGCATAACGCAGCTGCGATCAATCTTGAAATGTAAGCTGATGCATTGGAACAAGTCATAGAAAAATAAACGACCTAACGTCATTAAAGAAAAGTCAGTTTTCACAACAGCAGTTTCGAAGTAGAAGACTCGTCACAATGACAAGTCAGTCATATTCCATAGACGTTAATGAGAGCCAAAGCCCTGATGCATATTGGTCACCAAGGTACACAGATACACACACGGTGATTAACATCAGACTACCTGTTGTTCAGACACACAATGACCTAGGAGTCATCATTATCCAAGATTCGAAAACTATTGCACATCGCTGTGCAGCAGCTACCAAAGATTTTAGAACCCGATGGTCAATACGTAGTGCTTTTAGTCACTTCTACGCTAAAATCATTTCGGCTTAACAGACAGTGTTCGTTTGTCCTAAACTCGGATATTGTATATAAGCAGCCAACCCATATCTAAAGAGACAGTGAGCTGTTGGATAAGGTTCAAATAATCGCAACTCAATTAATTCCCGGTACTGCATAGCTGCCGTACGTCAAAAGAATTGCTAAGTTAAACTTATTCGCCCTGTCATATAAAAGGACTAGAGGTGAATCAATCACAGTTTTTAAACTACTGAGTGATGAATTCACCTTTTTGACATGCCTTCAGTTTTCTTGATTTCCAAAACAGAAAATTTACAAGGACACTAAGAAGGTTTACAAGCCAAGAATATATTACATTCGTCTGACTAAAGTTTATCACCAAATCAACAACAAATGGAACTCCGCGTCTGAACACATAGTTGGAGCTCCATGAATTCAAAGGAAAGCTGGATCAAGTGAGAGACAACCAGCCAGAATCCTTCACAAAACTAAAATACATTCAGCATTTGTCTAGTCTTGAGTTCATATATATATATATATATATATATATATATATATATATATATATATATATATATGATGTCTCATTTTAAACTAACAGACATACAGTTGAAGAGTATACTTACATTTCCGATGAAGCCACTACTTGAGTATAAATTTGACAAAAATTAACTTACCTCAACTTGGAATAGTCCAGATTTGGAACCACTAAAACCATAAGTTGGTGAGTTAGGTAGAATTACATCATCTAATGGTGAACTCGTATTTTTTGAATCACTAAACCAATCCAACGACCAATTTTGATTTTGTGTCACAGTATCATTCACTTCTTCAATTAAACATTTAGAAATCTTTGTTTCCGATGAAGTGATCAATAATTTGGTAATTAGATTTAAATCTTTAAATGGTCCTGGTTCAGATTTCTCCAATGTAATGTGTATATCACCATTAATGAATTCATAGTCAAAAGTATTTTCATCTGTTAATACAGAGCCCGGGATATCGAATCTAATAAGGACAATTATACTGTATCCGCGAAAAATAACTAAGGACTTACTTAAGATAGTACGGAGAGGAATCAAAATAAAAAGTTTGTTCTTCAACACATACTTCCATTTCAGATAATTTAGCCAATGGAGCATGAATAATAACTTTGAGTTTTTTATCATCTTGTTCTAATCGGAATATTGGAGTTAGTACCATATTTTAATAAGTTTATGTGAAGTCACTATGAAGTTAATGTAAAAATATGGTAAGAAAACAAATGAGATAAAGAGCAGTTTTAGAAATTATCAAAAAAAAGATGAGAATCGAACTCAAGGTTATGGTATACTTATACATATTTTTTTAAATAATCGAAGCCAATTTACTGGAGAACTTGAATTTGAAGTTGAGATTTTCAGTTATACAAATTACTTTAAAATTTTCGATTATGCTTACATCACCGGCTGTCGGTGTGTTAAACAAAGTCTGAGGTCTAAGAGGAGAACATTAACAAAAAAGAACGGCTAAATAAGCGACCTCTTGTTATTTCTGTGAATGCTTTGGCATATGTGACTAATAACGAGTCTTGTCATCAACTGAATAGTTTCAGTCAAATGAGTTAGACATAAAGGAACAAGATGAGTACAGTGACACAAAAGTGGGATGCCTGTTAATTTTATTAGGTTGACTAGCAAACAAACGTTTAAAGTAAAAATTCGATTCCTTTCAGAAATTAGTAGGACTATTAAGAAAATGAAGCACCCAACAGTAATTAATGATACGCGAAATGATAGAATGCTAGCAACAGATATTTACCATTAAACTCTTGCCTCGGTTGAATTCATAGATTCGACAAAACCATAGACACCAAGATGAAAACTAATATGTGATAGTCGTTATGTCAAGTCACTGATTAGCTACGTTATAGCAAATTTCATTATCTAATGTTTTTCTGAAGAGCAGGTATAACTGAAGGTTATCCTACCTACATGTCAAGGTAAATATGCCCACACGAAGTTGATATCTGACGATCTTTCTCCGTATTTATTTAGGACTTTTATTGCATTATTTAAAACTATACATGCCAAGTAAGTGCGAATAGTGAGTGTATGTCTGATTCTTTTTGGCTATGACAATTAGGAAACTCTTAATGTAAATTGTTTTTTTTCCAAATAAGTGTTAGTGGCACTTCGCGCTTACAATAAAAGTGACAAGCATATCTATTATCAAAATACTCGTACACCAAGATTTTAATTTGTGAAAATGAGTGTCTTTAACCCCAAATCGTTTTTGAAACCCAGTTGGTGTCTAAACGTTTGATTTGTGATAGAAACAATGGCAAACATAGATATTTAGGCGAAGAGTATAGAATTGTGAGTGGACTATGTGTAGACAGCCATAAAAAGTAGGAGATTCGGCGTGTAGACGCAAGGCAGACAAGTGAACTTTATTTTAAATACACATCAATAAACAGTCAGTCACAGATACAACATAAACACGGTATCTAGGTATATCAGTTCAAGACGCCATACCACACTGGCACAAAGAGATGGAATATTAAGCTGTTCTTCCAATAAAGTGCTTGTCTCGCCCTTATTTTCTCAAGAAAAACTCTCCATATTTACCTTTTGGTTTGTTTATGTGAATGCATGTAACTATCAAAACAAACCAAATTAGTACAAGTAGTCGGTCGAGGAAAAAGGGTTATTTGACGTGTTAGGATTAGCATAGTGTAATGTTAGATTCACCCTGACTTAAAAGACGCTTATTTAACCATAGGGAAGTAAACACCAACTAGAGGAGGAAAGAAACAAGATGTCATTTGTGATTTTCAGAAACTTAGTCTACGTAATTACGAGTATGCTAAAAACAATTCTAACCAAAAAGCATGCAATCAATTTCACACACGTTAATCAACTGGCTAGAATTATCAACGGAATAAATTACCATGCACAGTAAAAACGTGAGTTCTTTTTGAAGCGGCCCGCTTTTTCGCCTACACGACCTTGAACGCTCAATGTGTAACGGCTAACACACATTTCCAATATCCATTTTATTGTTCACGAGCTAGTATCAACCAGTTGGTTTATTTCGTCAGGGTTCCAAGCATTTAGTAGTGTCTAACGTATGGTAGTTTAACCAATCTCCAGCACTTGAGATTATTCCTCCTGTGTTACAGGAGAATCAGAAGTGTACAACATATTGAGCATGCCAAACCATCCCAAAGTAAACATTTTACAGATGCATCACCATCACTCCCCTCGAGGTAATCCTCAAAAACTTGCGCATCTAAGAGTGAATACTCAGGTTCGTGCACACTTTTTCCCATTAATAGTCGTTGCAACTTGGAATGATCTCCCAGAGGGGTGATCACACCCCGCTCAGTAAACATCTTTAAGAAGAGACTCTGTAAACACATACTCACATACCGATTATCATCTTCCGGGTGGAAAAGCTTTACTTGATGCATGCCTTGAGACTTGCCAGTCGTTAATATTATCATCCCCTCATATCACTCAATCTGTCTCGCCTATTATCTCTGTTTCCTCTCCCTTGCTTACACTTCGGTCCTCTCTCACAATCTTTGATATCAATAACCAAAATAAATCATCTACATATTGCTTAGTTCTTAAATATTATTCTTATTAGCATTAGCATTTTCTCCTTATTGTTCTCCTCATTGCAACTAACTGATCTCTGGTCTGGTATTGCGATAACTGCTGGTATCCGGAAACCCTAGTACGCTGAGACAAACTCTTTCATTCAAATTATGGGACATAAAAAATCACAATCAACTGCCAAATGACTATAATTAGTTCATTCAAGTGTCTAGACACGCATTCTTTGGACACTACCATACACCTTGAGCTGTGACGAAAGAACAAGAATCGAGAGCGAAGAAATCGACTGGTTTATACTAGCTCGTGTAAAAGATATATGGTATTGAACTGTACTAATTTTTGTTATTTGGCAGTCGTTAATGAACTTGAATTTCCGTGATTTGAATGAGTAAGTTTGTATCAGGGAAGTCGGGTTTCTGGATACCAGCAGCTATTACGTTACGAGGCTGGAAATCAGTTAATCGCAATGAAGAGAATAATAGGTGGAAAATTTTAATGCTTATAAGAAGAAGATTTCAGGACTAACTAAATAGCCAGACTTCTTATACCTATCACATTCACGTGGTGTTTCAGTTTTCTTTTTATTTCATGAGTGAATCAAGAAATCCGAAATTTAACACAGGAAGTTTTAAGTCCGGATTTCGAGACTGTCAGTCGAATATCCAATATCTTTTTCAGGAGACAGTATAAACCAATTGATTTCTTTCCTCTAGATTCTTGTTCTTTCGGCACAGCTTCGGGTGTTTGGTAGTGTTCAATGAAATCCTGTCTGAAACTGACTGTAATACCTCGATTTAGAAAGAAAGCGTGATGGAAACACTGAGGAAAACACTAGGTTATGGAGCGAAACCGTGGGATAGAAACGTCGATATGACTAGATTGTTACCTCCCCATCACTAATAAAGAGCCAGAGCCAAACATTGCTGTTTCAAAAGCATCAGTGAAGTGAAATCGTCTCACTCGTCGTCAATGTTAGCTGGTGGGTAACTTCATCCTCCTTCCTTTTTCGATGTTGATCTCAATCAGATTAATGGTTGAACTGTAATTATGAGACTCCAGAAAGAGTTTATGGATAATGAGCAATTATATAAACTGTTGCTTAATAAAGACTTTACAGATTTTTACGTCAGTGTTCACGAAATCTTTAAGGTTGATGGAACAGATCCTAGAGTTCTTTAGAGACAATTTTTCTGATAAGCTCTTGACTCAGCCCATTCGGTGACTTCATTTAAATTATTCTTCAAAGTTCGCGACTTCGATTTACGTGAACAACTACATTAAGGACGACCGAACTTTTCATAAATAGTGAACAACATCTGCATCGTACTAGTACTATTTTTTATTTAAAGAAATGAAACAAGCATTAATATTCGAAAGATGACGTGTTAACGACAAGAAAGCTGACCAAAACTACTACTTAAAGAGTTCGAGAGTTCCCAATAACACACAGTATGTTTTACTTGTTGACCGTGACGAATCCATTTGCTGGAACAGCTAATAACGGTCTAATTAGAGGTAATAATCCAATCGAACAATGAATCCATCCTCATCGTATCGAGTGGCCCTACACACATGTTCAGTCGGTCCGAGCTTATGATGGCCATGATAAGTCGCTTGAGAAATCTCCTTGTGGAAGTTCTGCAGTGCTTGTTGGGATTTAGGGATTGGATACTGAATTCTTCATCTAGAAGTGTTTATTCGAACCCCAGGTATGGTTGAAATGAATTTCAAGTGATACTAGTATGCCCACAACAACCAGTGATATTGTTCCCATATTGGTTCTGAATGTGGTTGATATAGTCACCTGTTCAGTCGGCACTTTGGTGAATTTAGTATACCCGTGGGAATCAATAAATTTGCTTTTGACCAGGTCATTTATTTCCCTTTTCGTTATTTTTTTGGATTGTTAACTGTACAATACTCTTACAGTGAATAACTATGTACTTGGAGTATTAAACATTCAAAACTACTGTCCTGAAGATACTTGTTATGTAGTGTAGTGGTATACTTCTACAAAGAAACCACAGTTGCTGAAATATAAATATTTACCATTGTACTTAATTCTGACAATAATTGTTATATTGTGCAGCTCTTGTCTATCTGTACTAAAGACTATCCCTCGCACGCCAGGCGTGTTATTCCCATTCTCCTCTTCGCACGTCTCCTACGTGGACGTTAGCCGATTGTACGCCCTCTGGTCTCGATATTATTCCGATATCACGAGGTTAGCATTAAATATACTTGTTCCTCTAGAATCGCCTTTTTGTTTGCTTCTTAGAGTATCGGGACTAACATTTGTTATCCCGCGAAGTAGTATATTGTACGATTTGCTATAGTAGTATCATCTAATAGGCAAACTACTGAAAAGTCACAGGGGAGAAGTGGTATGGGATAGAAACTAAGTTGGAAATACATTTTTTTAGACTGTAACAGTGTACGCTTGAGCGCTTTATTGTCTACTAGTCGGAAAGTACAAACAAATATAGCCTTGGTGAAATTATTGGTGAAAAAACAGTCAAACTTTCAGGGATATTGATCGCACTTTGTATGCGTTTCGAGATTCGGTCCCAGATATGTTTGGGTGCCTCAAAAGCGTCCTGCGAACGTGTACTAGCATTCAAATGAAGATCATCAGCAATGTGGTTCATTGCTAAGGTATAAAGAACATTGGTTGGGTACTTTTCATTCAAAATAGGCATCTACAGATGCAATGGTAAGCTGGCTGAATTTAACGAAATTTCGGCCTAAACAGTGTACGTGAACAGATTCAGAATGATAACTATCAAGGGCATTTTAATTTCGAGTCATTTTTAGTTGATATGATTTCAACATTCCCCTTCAATTAAGTGCACATGATATATTTAGGTGTGATGAAAAACTGATCCACTTATGGATCTATTCATCTTCGCAAAGACTCCAAAATATTGACAGACTTAAATAAATTGACCACCAGTTATGCTGTAAGTGATCTATTAGAATATTAGCGTAAATGCCGCGCATTAGATTTCGTCATATTATGAAAAGCGACTGAATGTTGATTGCACTCCTTTATTTAGGCCCAACATTTCCTAAAAACTCTTTACGATTATCATTGTACGTTTGTTAGGTATCTGAACACTTAGTCTCTTATTTGTATTCAATGAAGTACCTTCCTGAACAAATTTTAAAATTTTAGCACTACTTTTCACCATCTTAGTAAACAACTTTGCTTGGATGCAACAAGTTTTTAACAATTCATATGTCTGAAAGTAAATAACTGTGTGTATGCTTCCGATGAGGCAATAAGGAAGAGAGCGGTTGGTCAAGACGGTTAGACCTCCTGAACAGTGGTTCAAGTTTGGTGTGATTATGTGTGTCAGATTGGTTACTCTGACTGTCTTTCACTGAAAGAGGACGAAGATTCTATCAGGGATGTTTAAATATTCTTATCTAGTAATTAAAGCTGGTTAGTTTCGTATTATTGGTAAGTGATCAAAAAAGTAACATCAGACTTGAAGAGCTCACGAGAAACCTAATGTAAAATCAAAAGTCGTTTCTATCCCTCTGCCCCTCAATCTCATGTTGCTGCTTCTGGCTCAACAAATTATTAACCTGTAAGGGATATGCTAGAGCAATGAGAATTTTTTTCTGTTCTGGAAATCTGTTTTAATCATTTCAGGGATCAACAATCGTAACACAAACAATACCTTGCAGAAAGTATCCTACACTCTGAACAGTTGAGTTCGTCTTTAGTCACCAGAAATCAAAATAAAAAGATGTGCTCTATCCCTTCCTTTTTTCGAGATATTATATATGTTGAAAGATTATCGAGAAGCAGGAAAACCCCAATCCTTTTATCAAAGCGCCCATAGACAGCTGAAGATATTCACCCTTCTATTGATTTTGATAACTTGATGATAGTCACAATTCACATTATTGTATTTGTAGAATCCTTTTTGAATGTTTTGTTTTTTGGAAAATCCCTCCATGTTTACATATTTTTGCTATGACATGACGGACTTTTTCTGTTGACATTTTTGGTATTTTATTTTATTCCAATTTGAGATTTTATCATTGTATATTGTTATTCTTTCTATATTTTGTACTTATATTGAAGTTTTTGTGTTTGCTTCTGAACTGTACATATGTTGTTTAAATTTGATATAATATGGCTACCGCCACATTTTTGGACTGATGCAGTGGCCGCTGGACTTAGCGTCACTTATTTGTTACTGTGTCTGATACTCTGCGGAGTAACTGAACCCTGGAAGAAGCACTATTTCCAGGTAATGCTTTGTATTTCCATTTTTTAACTAATACAGACGCTTTCTCCTAGAATTTTGTCCTTTTTGAATTGGTTGGGACCCGGAACTGGGAAAAGCGTACAGGAGTGCCTCTATTGGAACCCATTGGATCGGCCACTGTAGAAATATAATTACAGTCTGGAAATATTTCTATAAAGGATTACAGTATTTGCTAACTAGTAATGCTCATGTATGTTCAGTTCGTGCTCTAATAGTCACGTATGGACCAGTATCAAAGTAGGAAAAAACTCTGTTAGTAAATTCAAAACAGTGGTTCCCTTTGATAAATTTGAATAGAGAAATAAGAAGACATATTTTGTAAGATAGTACCATTTCGTGCTTTCTCGTCAGTCACATACAAGCAACATGTTATTCATCAACCTAGCCCATTATCTCAAAATCGATCAAGAAACCCAGCCTCGTCCATTGAAAAACATCTAATGATGAGTGGTCATCAAATTGACCCAAAATCAGCCTTTAGAGTTGTGACATATCATCAAAACCCACGCACACTGAAACTAATCGAAGCTATCTTGATTGGTCGGAAAAGTCCAACTTTATGTGTTCAAAAACAACTGTATGTTGACCTTTGTTTACCATGGTGGTTCTAGTGAGTGAATGTCATGCTAAATAAGAAATTTTGACCTTTAACTTCAAAAGTGTATTTACACAAATAACATGTTGCTTGTATGTGACTGACGAGAAAGCACGAAATGGTACTATCTCATAAAATATGTCTTCTCATTTCTCTGTTCAAATTTATCAAAGGGAACCACTGTTTTGAACATCGAAATGAGTCGAGAATGATGTTGATTTTGAAAAAAAGAGAATGAAGCTCAAATAGATACTGTAATTTTGTAGAGATTACAAACTGATTTAAGTTGGCCAAATGTTGAAAACTAGGAATCACCCAGGATGGCCATTTTTTCCTGTTATTGAATTCTTCAGAAGTGAGCCAACACGATCCCTTATCTAGGAGTTGAAACCAAGAATTTCAGTCTCACTGGATAAACAAGAGCTGAATTTTACGTGATATCATGAAAATGGAAAGTAGAATCACTTTCAGTTTTGTGAAATATTCAATTTGTGAGAACTAGGTTTCTACAGGTTGTTTACGACTAGCTTAGGCATGTTGGTTTACTCCAGGTAACCGCAAGTCCAGTGATGAAAGAAATCTCTTACGTTATCAAGAAGTGTCAAGTATGCATCATGACCAAGAGACCCATTAATATCAGCTACATCTGATAACTGCTAGAAGCTGTTTCAGCTTATCCAAGCTATTGGCAGCAAGAAGTTTGGTGTAAGTGGAAAATCTGTGAAGCTGGTGGGACTTCAGTTAGTTAGTCAGCAAAGAAGAGATTGGTAGCCTCAGTAATTTAGAACCTCATCAAAAATAATGCACAACCACTCCATAGAACAACTTCAAAAGATACAATGGTAATTCACGGGGAGATCATAGTTAAAGTGTTGAATCTTCAAGTGCATTTTCACTTTACTTAGATATAGGATTATTTGTATTGTGTTTTAAACACCTGATTCATTCAGTTTAATTTTAATTTATTGATGCCCAGAATCGAATGTTAAATTTATCTGAAAACTTATAACGAATCCTATTTCTATTGTGATTCACTGTGCCGACTGATTAACCATGAGTAGAATTTAAGTATACTCTTCTCAACAATACTAATTTTAAAAATGCACCTTTGGTGAGTCATTCAATGTCTAGCTCACATGACTTGTCCCACTTGTCTTTTGACCTTGTCAATCATTCGTCGCTTGTATTCATGTGTGTGCATGCCTATTTCGCTTACTACATGTCTGTCTTATTTTTGTCTGACTATAAATTCTTAGTCATTCTTTATCTCTCGGACTGGAACCACTAGCCTTCTCCACTTAGCTTCATCAATTCATTCGTACATTCTCCCGCTACTGTGTCCGACCTGTCTGCTTGTGGTCCTCTGTCCTATTTTGTGGTGTGCTAAAAATAAACGAAGTCGACACTTCGTGTTTACCTTCTGATTTATAACCGTCAGGCGCTATTTGGTGAAAATTAGGATTTTCAATACAAATGTCAAGACAGTTCTACTGTATGGAGCGGAAACTTGGAGAACTACCAAAGCCATCATCCACAAGATACAACCATTTATGAACAGCTGTCTTCACAAAATACTTCGGATTCGTTGGCAAGACACCATCAGCAACAACGAACTGTGGAAGAGAGCAAACCAGATTTCAGTGGAGGAGGAAATCAGGAAGAAGCGGTGGAAATGGTGAGGACACTCATTACGAAGAGCACCTAACTGCGTCACAAGACAAGCCCTCACATAAAACCCTCAAGGCAAAAGGAAAAGAGGAAGGCCAAGGGACACATTACGCTGAGAAATAGAGAAAGATATGAGAAGAATGAACAAAAACCGGACAGAACTGGAAAGGGAAGCCCATGACAGAGTTGGTTGGGGAAAGCTGGTGAGCGGCCTATGCTCCATTGGGGGTAAAAAGCGTAAGTAATTAAGGAAGTAAGCTGTTTGGTGACGATTGTCTAGACGAAGCTAATTACGAAGATGAAGAACACGTTGAAACTGGCCACCATACATCTATTATAAAACATTTTTCAATTTATATTTTGTTCATGGATATTTTATGTATGCTTACATTTCATGCATCAAACAATTTAAATATAATCTTTTGATAAGATAACAATTGGCCTAAAATTAATACAAAGAGATGATGAGAATAGGAATTCGTCTTAAGCATTCAACGATTCATAAATATATGAATACAGTAAGTAACAAGATTAAAATTATTCATCTCTCTCTAATAGTTTTGTAAGTATTGTAAGAAATAGAATAATGAAGAAATATGTCTCTATCTATGTTCATTATTAGTATTTGTTTTGTTTGTAACTGTTCAAAATATACAAAATGAAATCTGATCAGATATATATTTTTTTTCAAATGTTACAAATCTATCTATTCATCATCTTTAACAGAAGGTAATGTTGCATTTGTTATACTGGATCCTAATGAACTTAATGATTCACGTTTACCATAGAGTAGTGATGTTGAACTATCAATTGATAGATTACGTTGTTTTTGATCAATTTTCAATTTAATTCCTTGTCTTTGTCGTATTGTTTGATTTGATTTCCCAGTGAATTCTTCTTCTGGCTCTATATTTATCTGTGGTTGATCACTATATTTTCTATACATAGGATTAGTATTATTATTATCCTGTACTACAAATGATGAATTCATATCATATTCTTGTTCTAATCTAGCTAAACGACGTTTCAGTTTCGCTTGACTAGAACCAAATTCACCAATTAATCTAGCTAAACGTGTAGTTAATTGACTAACTGTATTATCAATACGTTGAACACATTGTTCAATGGATTCTTGTTGTTCTTGAGCCTTGCGTAATGCATCTTCATCTAATAAATTATCTTTACGTAAAATATCTTGACCACGTTGCATAAGTATTGTTTTAGTTTCTGGATATTCAGTTAATGCATCCCAAAGATCATCTTTACTAAGACAAAATAAATCAGAATAACCAACTGAACGTACATTGGCCGATCGTCGATTACCTGTTTTATTACCTATAAGAAGTGAATGATGACAAAAAAGCAATAACAAATAGACAGCAAGACAACAAGAAGAAAATGGATTTTTTTTATTAGAAAGCAAACAGTCAGTCAGTCAGTCAGTCAGTTGCAACGTAGAACTTCGTACGTATGTACATAAGTTCATGTTGCCATACCACATTATTAACACAGAGACGCAAATGTCAAATCAAATCCCATAGTGATAAAGATAGTAGAGGTATTAATGGTAATGAAGAAGATGAGGGTTTGAAGATATTATTCAAGAAGTATAATTCAGTGAGATAAGGTTAGAAAGACAAAGGTAGAGGTGCTGACGAATCCAGAAGATTAGGATTTGAAAGAGCACAACGAATGGATGCACTTGCGCCATTGCAAACGATTTTGAGCCATATCGTTCAAGGTCTCTAACCATTGGTGACTATCGTCTCGCGGACCCCAACCAGGTAGTCTACATCTACCAACATGACTCAGTCCACTAGTCAGTGACTTCATGGATTTTTGCCAAACAGTGATCTGTGATTGGCATAATCGATCTCAGTCAGCATAGTAGTCAAAGTTTGAACGCTAATTAGAAATTGAATTTAAGTATACGTAAGCGTGGTATTCAGACAAGTCAATGTTGTTGTTACTCTCTGTGTACAGATGCTTAACAACTCTATTTAGACATAACAATTCCATTTTTAGATGAAGTATTCAGTAAACATAGGGTTGTAGTTCATGATTACTAGAATTCAAAAAGTTTTTGAAAGAATTTCATTCTAACCTAATAGTGCAAATAAAACTCTTATTACGTAATGTTGAAGTATATTTATTGTTCTGTCTAGTTCTTTTAGATAATTTATGTTGTTAGTATATTGAGTTGTGTGTTATGTAACTTTAAATACGAAGATAGACGAACTATAATTCACAACAAACATATATCTTATGTGTAAAACAGAACAGTAATGTTTTAGAACAGCAAATATTCGGAGGATATGAAGTGTGTGAAGATTTTCTAGTTTGAAATTTATATTACATAATAGGTCGGCTTTTTTTACAGAGAAATGTTGAAAAATAGAGGAGGAATAGGTAATGTGAGGCTTTATAGTAACGGACTATAGTGATACTGTCAACCGATGAAGCTGCATCTGTCAGATTTGGAAATGTTCACATTACAATAGTAGAGTAAATCATATTTCTCACTTTGTTTAATGTCCAATGTCAACTCAGTGATCTAAGGATTAAGCTTTTATTCATTCATTCATTCATTTCATACTAGGGGAAAAACCGCTGTCCAAGATTTTATTGGTTGTATAATATGAATCAGTTTGTGATCTCGATCATGTATTTCTATTCATCAAAAGATTGATGAATGTTCTTTAAAACAGTCAACAGAACTGTTGGAACACTAAATATACATACTACTGTATTATTCTTGAATTTTTTTGTCATTTATAAACAGAAGTTAATACGTTTTCCGATCCATTATATCAAGACAAGAAATTGTCTTTTAAATTGTATCACTGAACAGGAGTTTTTTTCCCCAAATTTTGTACAAGTGTTTGAAGTTCAGTCTTATCAAAGTGCATGATTGATTGACACTCAGTTTTATTGTTGTCTTCTCATATTGAGATATTCATCATCAACTAGTTACGCTTGTTAGATCTCCAAATTGTTTTTTAACTGTATAGTAGGCTAATACACACATTTTTTAACTGTTGTCTCAATAAAGTGACTTTTGAATGTGTTACGATATTCATCCAATATCCTAAGAGAATTATTGGCCAGTTTCTATTGGTTAATTTTTACTGGTCAATTTTATGGTCGTCCTAGATATCAATGTCACGTGCTCCAATGTTGTTTCTTATTGGTTGTCCTGACTATCAATGTCACTTCAAATGTTGCTTCCTATTGGTCGTCTTAACTGCCAATGTCACAGACTTCGATGCTGTTTCCTATTCGACCAAAATGTATAAATACGCATTATCTGTAACATTTTATGACCACGACCAGGACCCGGTCCAGGATCCCTAGTCCGGGATCCTGATTCTCTTCTGGACTCGGACCTCGTGCTTCCTGGATGCTTGTAGAATACAGGTTCTACTTCATATCAAGTCTTCTTATTTTAACTAAATATGGGGGTTGGAATAATCGGATTTGAGTAGCATTTCGTATCACCGGATCCTCGATCCTCGCTCTCGTTTTCCGACTACTAGGTAAACTCGTAATAGTTCAAGTATATCACGATGAAGTGTTTATGTGCAGGCGTAAGAGAATGAAACTATATGAATTAATATTGTCATATAATTCATTCTATAGAGAGAAGATTCTAGTTGCATGGCTCAGGCTGTATAGAACTCAATAACATTTTTATACTTCAACTTGGAAGTTGGCTTATTAATGGAGAAGATTCAATTATCAATTTTTATTGTTGATACAAATGCAAAACAATTGAATTTTCTATTTGACAAGTATAATAATGATAAACTTACCAGCAATATTTAATATAGATATTTCACCGAATACAGAACCTTCACCAAGTGTAACAAATACAGTTTTACCATCTTCTGATACTACACTTAATTTACCACGTTTAACTATGTACATTTCTTTGCCAATATCACCTTTACGACAAATATAATCACCTGGTGAAAATACTTGCAATTGAAGTTTAAGTACTAATTCTACCAAAAGTCCCGGATCACAATCCTAAAGAGATAGATAATATGTCAAAAAATATGTATATTTAATGTACAAATGGTTAACGAAAGTAGTTATTGTTACGAGTTATTTCTATAACTCATTATATGGTGCGCGCTACTTATAAGTAGTATATGACGCGAGCGTCAACGTAATGTCTGGTGGCAGCAGAAGATGGGGGAAGATCAAGAAAGGAAGAGCGGGAACACAATGGGATTTGTATGAAACGCACGAACAGTGAAATTTCAGACAATGGATTGATGTTTGCAACAGGAACAGTCCAGTTCGATATGATGAACTGATATTTTGCAAATTAACGATTTACGATATGGTTTTCCTATTTTACTGAGTAACTCTGCAATTTGAGATAGATGCAATTTGGTTGCCCTCACCTGTGTTCTCCTTCACTACAATTATATTTCATAAGATATATTATACATTGAAACAATAAGTGAGAGTAAATCTAATACTGTAATCTTTTATACCATTCTCTTTAACGAACTAGAAAGATTTTATAGGCTTTGAACTTTGCTCATACACTTGTAGCTTGAGATAAACATGTTGGGAATGCATTTTAAGGCTGTTTTTAATGTGTGTTTCCACATCTGAGCCTTGATTCACGAGTAATGTTGTTGAATTTATACAAGTGTGCAATAAGTTACACTGCATAATTTGTGTTCAAGACTACCCATAAATTACAATATGTGATAATCATCGATGTATCCGATATAAAGATATTAAAACATAAAACAAGAATACTGTTATATCCATAAACTTTGATCAATGACAACTGACAAATGCAGAATACACTAATCAGAATTACGTTCTAGCCTCAGAAACCTTGAGTTCACACGATACTAGTTAATGAATTAATCAGAAGATCACTATAAAAGGAAGATGTTTGTATATAATCTAGTTGGTGAATAGTTATACCGCACAATATACCGCACGCAATAATAATTCATAAATCAAACTTGGAAGTTATTGGTCCTTAAATCTTCTTTCTGATCTATCAAAAGTATGGTTCAATGACAAGATCTCTTCTGGATAAAAAGTTCTTTTTCTTATATAAACTATTATATCCGTTTTAATACATATCTATATTGAAAGAAGTAAAGTGAGGTAGTTCAGTTATTATATTACTACTACTATAGTGAAGGAGAACACAGGTGAGGGCAACCGAATTGTATTTAACGAAAATTACAGAGTTACTCAATAAAATAGGAAAACCATATCGTAAATCGTTAATTTGCAAATCTTCAATCTATCATCAATCCATTGTCTGACATTTCACTTATTCATGCGTTTCATACAAATTCCATTGTGTTCCCACTCTTCCTTTCTTGCTTGATCTTCCCTCATATTCTGCTGCCAGACATTACATTTACATTCGCTTCATGTACTACTTATAAGTAGCGCGCACCACACTACTGTAGTGAATGAGAACACAGGTGGGGCAACCGGATTGTATTTAGCGAAAATTACAGAGCTACTCAGTAAAATCGGAAAACCATATCGTAAATCGTTCATTTGCAAAAGATCAGTTCATCCTATGGAATTGGAGTGTTCCTGTTGCAAAACATCACTCTATTGCCACTCACTATTCATGCGTTTCATACAAATTCCATTGTTTTCTAACTCTTCCTTTCTTGATCTTCCCCCCATATTATGCTACCAGACTTTACGTTGACACTCACGTCATATACTACTTATAAGTAGTTCGCACCACAGCACCACACTACTACTTCAAACTTCAAACTTCAAACTAACCCATTTTTAAACGGTTGTCTCAATTTCGAGAATAGTTTTTATATGTGAAAAAAAACTTTCACTGCATTTCTACATTTAAAATCTAGTATATTCTTCAGTTTGTCTTCACAATATTTTTATTCAAGACAATGTTATTTGGAGAATAGTTGGATGTACTACGCTGTCAAGGTTATTATCACATGATGTCTTATGGGTTATACAAATCAATAAGCTTATGACATTTGCGAAAATGTCGGTTAAGGGAACCTTGAAAAAAAATATTATTTTGAATCAATGTTTACTTAATGTTAATCAACATTGACAAAACGTGACTACATTTCACTTATTCTTATCATTAACAAACAATTTGAAAATATTTTAATGATCATTCCGAATACCATTTTAACTCTACAGAAAAATGGATATTTATTAAAGATATTAATGTAAATTATCACAAATTATTTCTCAGTGCAATCGACAATGAGACCTAGTGGTTTAAAGATTATGTGCTTGCTTTGAAACCTGAAGTCTTTGGGTTCAATCATTGATGGGATCTTGGTGCAAGTTTTATGCTAGGACGAAACAGATGTCCAATATTGACGTTGTGGTGTGTGCTACTTATACGAACGATATAAGTAGTATAAGAAGGGACATGAAAGAAGAAGTCTCACAGTCAGAAGAGGAAAACAGAAAGCAAATGGAGCAAAAGCAAGAAGTAAATGGAGTACCAACAGGAGGTAAAGGAAGCAAAAGCAGGAATGGAAGAAGGATGGAGTGTTGGAAGTCACGACTCAAAGATGGTGTACAAATAGAGTGTTCAATGTAATGTTTTCGTTTTTAATTGACTAAGAGTGTAAGTTCGCTGAATACAGTCATCCGCGCCTGCCTCAGTGTTCTCAATGTGACTAGAGTCAATCCATAATGTAAAATTTTTAAATTCAAGGGCAAAATTTTTAAAATTACTCGCTTGATTATTAATAAAAAAAATTTTTAAGGTCAATAATTTTATTATTACATACAATAAAACAATGAAGAGAGATTTTAGATAATTGAACTTTGGAGGAAACTAGTGAACATGTTCATTAAAACTGTTGTTTTTTTTGTTTAAATAATTAAATGTAGTTTGCGAATTTTTCTTTGTCAATTTTAATTTTAGTTTGTTATTCTTATCGAAAAAAAACTTGGGATAACGTAGATAAACTTTTATTCATGAATTTTAAATGAACTTTTATCCTATGTATGTACATAAAGATTTGCTCTTTTTCATGATAGTACTTTAAAGAATTGTACTTAACAATAACAAACCTAATGTCAATCAATAATCAGAGTAATAAATCATTGAGAAAAAAGGTGAAACATTTCCTTCTTTAAGTTGAATAGCTTAATTGTGAAGTTGTTAATTGGTAGAATAATGAGAGCTTCACTACTGAAACATTAGGATGAGAGAATTCCATGTTACTAGAATAATCAACCTGAGCTATAAATCTTCTTTTCTACTTCAATATGTTGAAAATATTGATGAAAACACATATAATGAATGGGCTCAGTGGTTCAGAGGTTAGGCGTTCGAGCGCAAGACCGAAGGTCGTGGCTTCGAATCCTGTGGGGTGCAGTAGTTATGGATGCACACTGCTGATGAGTAGTCCCATACCAGGACGAGACGGCTATCCAGTGCTTCCCGGTTTCTAATGGTGGTTTAACTTTGATGGACTTGTGACAATCTTCACAACCCCATAATGAAATGTATTATGTGTATTCATGAAGTAATTTTATTGAGTAATTTGATAATGATCGGTATACTTTCATTGATGTGTATTAGGAAATCTTTACGACCAGTAAGAATTGGTAACATCATGTTGTAGACATTAAATATTCTAATTTTAATGAATCTTTGTTAGTTTACGCATATTCGTAGTGAATTAATTACCTTAATAACTCGATTTTGTACCAAGCTATTCAGTTGAAGAATTATATTTAGCAGTGGAATGAAGAATGCATGTTTTCGTCTTATTTGATTATAAGGCAAACAATCCTGAGTGTCGACTACAGGATAATACAAACTGTTTGTTGGGGATGTTATATCCCCAGAACTCGCTTGATAAATGCCTTATTTTGGATTTCACGTTTGAGAGCATGGGCTGATCAGTTGACCTGGAGATTTCATTTCCCATCAGGAAAATCCATGGGTGCGACTGGCTGCTGTGTATTTTGGTGTACTATTTTCGTGACTGTCCCAAGGACGTTTCAGTGATGTATAAATAAACGAGAGTTGTGTGCTTGATTGCATTTTGATTGCTGGGTGTTTGTAGAATATACTTTCTACGCTTATCAAGACTTCTGTTTTGCATTTTGGGATTCAAGGTAGCCTACCTGGAGGCTGGTAATTGTCTCGTCATTCGCGTTTATCGACTAACGTGAACTCGTAATAGCTTCAAGCATACTTAGTGACGAACATAACACTCTTGGAAATAACGTTTATACCCAATGAACAAGGCAGTAGCTTTGATGGTACAGCAACATTTTGAATTACTCCTTGGCTTCTTAAACCAGGAATATTATATTCGAGGCTCAGTGGGGACATTACCCAAGGGATGCAGTTTCCTTCTGATGACAAGTTCCAGATTTGACAAAAAGAGGGTGGTGATTTCCACTTTTAGACAGAATTCATATATCCTCCAGTATCGAGTATTTTTTAACTTAAGATATCTGATTGTGTCAAGTGTAATGGTCCATTGATTTATCGGATGTAATGAATCATTTAAATTATCCAATTTGTCAATTATTTTGCATTAATAGTTATAACTTAAGACATATTTAATTCAAAGATAGTTAGTTTTATTGGAAGCTAATATGAACTAAGTGAAAATACTAGTCATCAGACCCGACTCGTTGGGGTCAGCGAGACAAAAGTCTCCAATGGTTAGAGATCTTGAACGACATGGCTCAAAATCGTTTGCAATGGCGCAAATGCATCCATTCTTTGAGCTCTCTCAAATCCTAATCTTCTGGATTCGTCAGCACCTCTACCTTTGTCTTTTTAACCTTATCTCACTGAATTGTACTTCTTGAATAATATCTTCAAACCCTAGTCTTCTTCATTACCATTAATACCTCTACTATCTTTATCACTATGGGATTTGATTTGACATTTTGGTTTCTGTGCTAATGTGGTATGGCGACCTGAACTTATGTACATACGTACAAAGTTCTACGTTGCAACTGACTGACTGACTAGTCATCAGAGAGCAATCGATATGTCATTCGCTAATATCGCTAAGTCAAAATGCAATATTTCACATACGTCATCTTTAGTTGTGTTTCATTAAACTGTTTAGCTATCAATCAATATCATTAGCGGACATTCATCAGTAACTATTTCTTAAATATCATTTCACGATAAACTCGTCAAACTGTGACATTTTACTATTTGATATTACAATCTCCTTTTAGTGACATTCACATGAAAAATAACAACCAATTTATCTCTTGTGTTATTCTTGTTTAACAAGCTTAAAGTTCACGTTGATTTGAAATTTGAGCATAATTTGAGCATTGACCTTAAATAATTTTTTGATAGGTGATTTAGATTTTTTTAACTTATGATTTGGTTCAATGTTTCGCAAGATTATCCGAATGTTAAATGAACACAGTAGTTGTATTAGTCTGTTGGCTTAAAAATCTACTTGCAAAAGTTCACATTTTCTCTTATATCATAATGAAGATATCATAATGAAGATATATCTGATTGAAACGGTGTCGGAAAATAACAGTAGTAGAAATTACAACTTAAAAAAATGGAAGAAACTGCGTTCCAGTCTTCAGATAAACACGATTAAGGAAAATTCAGAAATAGAGTCATTTCGTAATAAGATTAAACACTATACTTCTAATTTTAAAAATGCTTTCATATCCTCAAAAAGCATGAATTTGATACAGAATGAAATCCAAAATCTTGTTATTTACAAATTGAAATCATGAATCAATCATTGTTAGACCACCATAAGAAAACTGGAAGCACTGAAAGACGCCGTTCCGTCCTAGTATGGGACTAATCAGTGACAGTGCGCATCAACGACCCCTACTCCTCGGACGACTCGAACCCAGGACCTTCGGGCTTGCGCACGAGTGCCCAACTTCTGAACAACTGAACTGGCCGGCATCCAGCGGTGTTAATGTCTAACTCTGATCAATCTAGGCATTTTGCGCGACCTCATCCATTTGTCTACTGTAGTTACTGTCTATACCCGAACAGGTTTGAGCTCCATTAGGCTAGTCTTCTCAATAGAACCCTGTTAATTTCCTTACGAAGCCAGTCACTAGTGAGCATATTGTACAATTTTTCAATTAGAGTTATGGAGATCAGTGGACCAAAGGTCAGGCGTTCGCGCGCAAGACTGAAGGTCCTTGATTTGATTCCCGTTGATGAGCCACGTACTAGGGACGAAATGGCCATTATTAACTTTAATTCAAAATTTATTTAAGTAGTAGCACACTGATATATGTTTTTGATTTCAGAAAAAAAACAGATTCACTTACTTTAAATATACTAACACGTTGTAATGTATCAAAATGAACATGAATAGCAATTTCAGCTTTTAATTTATCTGGCAATGCATTAAGACTATCCTCTTCTAATGATTGTTTATTAGTCCATAAATAATCAAACCATCTAATAACACGTAGTTCTAATTCTTTATTAACTTTACGAAATTCCATATATCTAAAAGAAATTCAGGAAATAAGATAATAGTTAGTGAATACAACTAAAGTGAACAACTAAAGTGTTATAGCAAGAATAGATAGTATTAAATAGTTGAGTTATTCCAATAGTCTACTCATCCTGAGTTTTTACCTTAGAATGATTTTGGCTGGAATTGAGTTTAGGACATTGAAAGTTCATGGCATTCGCGTTTTATCGTCAGCTAACTGACGCGTGAAATAATTAATATGGAGTTAGTAATTGACCTAATGGTTTAAAAACACAACAGTACTAACAACACCCAAATCTGAAAGTCCATGGCTTGATCATACAATATTGGATGATTGGATGATTTCTGTTGAACTAATTTTAAACTAGGAAAGGAAAATGTTTTTTTAGCCATTACATTGTACAAATCATAATGATTTGTAACTGCGGAGAAAGTTACTTAGTTAGGACAGATCGCCGAGTGGAAGACAGGATAGGGGAACATATTCTCCAAAATGGTTAATCAAATCCATGATTCATCCACCACCTAGCCCGTCATCTCAAAATCGATCAAGAAACCAAGCCTCGTCCATCACAAAACATATAATGATGAGTGGTCATCAAATTGACCCAAAATCAGCCTTTGTAGGGTTGTGACATGTAATCAAAACCCACACACACACTGAAACTACTCGAAGCTATCTTGATTGGTCGGAAAAGTCCAACTTTATGTGTTCAAAAACAATTGTATGTTGACCTTTGTTTACCATGGTTCTAGTGAGTGAATGTCATGCTAACTAAGAAATTTTGACCTTTAACTTCAAAAGTGTATTTACACAAATAACATGTTGCTTGTATGTGACTGACGAGAAAGCACGAAATGGTACTACTATCTCACAAAATATGTCTTCTCATTTCTCTGTTCAAATAATGATTAGTGTATAATGTTTTTGCCATCATCAGCAACAATTTACTGTGGGAAAGAACAAACTAGATTTCAATGGAGCAGGAAATCAGGAAGATGCGCTGGGTGTGGAAAGGTGGCACATTATGGAAAGAATCCAACTACGTTACAAGACAAGTCTTCACTTGCGGCCCTCAAGATCAAAGGAAAAAGGGACAGATAAGGAACACATAACCCCGGGAAATGCAGACAGACATGAGAAGAATGAACGAAAATTGGACAGAATTGGAAAGGGAAGTGCAGGACAGAGTGGGTTGGAGAATATTGGTCGGCGGTCTATGTCCCATTGGGAGTAACTGGCATAAGTGAGTTAATATGAGTTTTTACAAATATTTCTTTATCACTGTATTTCAAATGAAGTTTTCTAAATTCAGCAGAACAATACACTTCGTTTAAAAGGTGATATTTCCTTGTAATCGCTTTAAATCTTATCAGATAAAAAGATTCTCCATACTTATACCTGTGTCCTTTTTTCATTCAATGGTAAAAACTACCATATATCAGCTTCAGCAATTCGATGAAGCTTTATTACTTGAAACTACGAATAAATGGTTACCTTGTGCAGTGTGATGTATCTAATCTAAACTTCAGAAAAAGAATGGATAGATTTTCGGAAATACTTTTTATCACAAACTAGTAATAAATTAGAAAAATCGAGACCTTGAATCTGTCAATGTTAGACCACTATTACAGACCTGGAAGCACTGGATAGCCTTTTCATCCAAGTATGAGACTCATCATTAGTCCAAGTCCACAACTCCCACTCGTGGGAATCGAACCCAGAACCCTCGACCTTATGCCCGAACGCCTAACCTCTAGACCGCTGAACCCGCGTCCAAAGGTGTTAATAAAAAACTTTAATCTATCTACAGCCTTACGCTTTATCATCCATTATCTTCGGCGGACACTGCTTCACACCCAACAGGGTTGAACTCCGCTCACGCTACCGGAGGTCCTGGTTTCTTTTCCCGCCAGCGGGTGTTGTAGACTCGCTTTGTTGGTGAGTCTCATTCTAGGATGAAACGGCCATCCAGTGCTTGCACGTTTTTGATAGTAATATAACACTGATTTACTCATAATTTCGACGAAACTCAACAATCTTCACAAACCCATAATGAAAAATATCCTGTGGATCACCGCTTCATGTATAAGAAAGAGAAATCAAAATATTCTAGTCGATTCATAACTAATCCCCACTCAACGTCTAACAATTCTATTCACGAAATTCATCTAGAAATATACTTAACCAACTTTATGGAAGTAAAGACAACTGTTTTTAGTTGACTGAAGACTAAAAAACAAATCTACAATGAGATGTCAAACCTTTCAGGTCCTGGGTTCGAATCCTGCGGGATGCAGGAGTCGTGGATGCGCACTGCTGAGGAGTCCCATACCAGGACGAAACGGCCGTCTTTCAGTGCTTCCAGGTTTCTAATGGTGGTCTAACATTGATCGATTCATGGTTTCAAAAATGTGTAATTTCAAAATACGTTTTTTTTTTAAAAAAAAAATCAAACTTGATTGAACACATTCACTTATTCACTCACCTTTTAACACCATCCATTTTATTTTGAAATTCTGTTCTAGCAGCATTCATATTTGTTATCATTGCGCCAACATTACCGACAACTGTGGCAAAAATCAGTACACCAACAAGAAAATCAATTGTAATGAAAATATATTCAGCATTTCGAACTGGTTTCGGTGTCTCACCAATTGTTGTCAATATCAATGTAGACCAATAGAAACTGTAAACATATTGTGAAAATAATCGATCCCATTGTTCGGTATAATTTTTAAATTCATCTGATGTATCTTCACTAGATCGTGGTGGATAGACAAATGAATCTGCACTTAAGCCTATATATATATAGAGAGAGAGAGAATGAATCAATGAATAAAGATGTGTTTTTGAGGAACAATCATTTGAAGGTTAATGTGTTCTGTAATAACTTGTATGGTGCATACAGCCCTGCTTCACACTGTATGTATGTGATCCAAAATTGAATGAACATATGTGTCATCATGATAAACATGTATCAGGCTACTGATAAATCATATTAAGTGATAACATCTTGAATAATAAATAGTTTGTGAGTTCGAGTCTCAACGTGAATATGAATAGAGGGATTCAGGCCTGTTAAACAAGCGTATCTCAACCAGGACGATCGATCGATCCCAGTCTCTAAGCACAATGTGTAAATATACTAGAAATGTAGAGACTTTGGAAACTAATTTCAATGTGACCTCTATAAATATATACTTGAGTAAGGTTAAAAGAAGTTATGAATTCGAGATTTTTAAACTTTTGTAAATGACTAGTAAAGTTAAAATCATGAATCGGTGATTATCCGACCACCATTAGGAACCTGGACCACACTGGGCCAGCATCCAACGGTGTAAGGTTAGGCGTTCGTGCACAAGACCGAAGGTCCTAATTTTGAATAATGCTAGTAGCAGGATTCATGGATGAGCACTGCTGATGAGTCCATGGTAGGTCTGAATGGCCGTCCAGTGCTTCCAGGTCTAACAATGATTGGTTGATCAGTTCAGTGTGTAAAAACACTGATCTCCATAACTCTAATTGAAAAAAAACTAATAAAGTGTTACATTCTGTTTTCTACTACCTGAATGAGTGTAGTTAAAAGGTTTAATACCACCACTACTGTAGTGAAGGAGAACACAGGTAAGGGCAACCGAATTGCATTTAGCGAAAATTACAGAGTTACTCAGTAAAATAGGAAAACCATATCGTAAACGGTTAATTTGCAAATCTTCATCATCATCATCAATCCATTGTCTGACATTTCACTTATTCATGCGTTTCATACAAATTCCATTGTGTTCTAACTCTTCCTTTCTTGATCTTCCCTCATCTTCTGCTGCCAGACATTACACTCACGTCATGTACTACTCATAATTAGCGCGCACCACACTACTACCGGATATCCACCTAGTTATTTTTAATACACAATCATTCATTCGCCGATCAATGCGAATGTGTGTTAAAATAAAATTAATCAAAGGAGCAGATCAGTTTATGATATGAATACAAATTGAAAATTGAAAACTAAACGAGAAAATTTATCAATTTTCAATATTCGTCAAATGAAGAAACGAAGAGTTCATTTTGATAAGGCTTTTACACATGCGGTGTGTGCTACTTATACGAACGATATAAGTAGTATAAGAAGGGACGTGAAAGAAGAAGTCTCACAGTCAGAAGAGGAAAACAGAAGGCAAATGGAGCAAAAGCAAGAAGTAAATGGAGTACCAACAGAAGCAACAACAGGAATGGAAGAAGGATGGAGCGTTGAAAGTCACGACTCAAAGATGCTGTGCAAATAGAGTGTGTTCAATGTAATGTTTTCGTTTTTAATTGACTCAGAGCGTAAATTTGCATAATACAATCTTCCTCGCCTACCTCAGTCTTCTCACGTATAATGTGAGTAAACAATGGATAAATGAACAAAGAATGATTATTTTAACTTTATTTTTAATATATATTATAGTGAATTGAAGATATATTTATTATGTCATGGCTATATGGTCAAACTGTATCTATTTCGGTTCATTCCAACTCATGTTTATCAGTGAATCGTTTCGTTACATCAGTACATGTTGAACAATATCCACAAAGAAACTACCTAATAAACTTGTAGAGCATGAAAGCCTCCAAATTAAATCAACTATATCAGTCAGTACATGCCATCGTCAATAACTATCAAGTCAATATTTAAAAAATATCAAACTAGTACAAAAAGGATTTTTCAACTATGTGGAATGACGAGTAGTTGAAGCTCTCCATATAATGCTACATACATCCTACTGTCCTCGATAGGTTTGATCTGTACTCTTTTTAAATTACTTCCGGTGCCATCAAGTATTTCAAACTAGGCCTATATGAACGCAATTGTGGTAAACCGTTTTTCCCTAACGAATCCTTCTGCCCACTCACTCAATATGTAGTGAATGAGAACACAGATGGGGTAACCCAATTGTATTTAACGAAAATTACAGAGTTACTCAGTAAAATAGGAAAACCATATCATAAATCGTTAATTTGCAAAATATCAGTTCATCATATCGAACTGGACTGTTCCTGTTGCAAAACATCAATCCATTGTCACTCACTATTCATGCGTTTCATACAAATTCGATTGTGTTCTAACTCTTCCTTTCTTGATCTTCCCCCATGTTCTGCCACCAGACATTACGTTGACACTCACGTCATATACTACTTATAAGTAGCTCACACCACAAATAGATTAATTCTGGTTCTAATTATTTTCACTGACACACTTGTTTTTACTAACCTTATTAGTTATTTTGACTTAGCCTCATCGACCTTATATGATGATATTTTCAACAGACAAAATAACCATCAATCTTAACCTTCGTGTAGTGCGGCGTATTGTACTTGAACACTTAGACAGTAATTTCCTAGCAATTTCGTAGGAAAAAGCTTTTTCAACTACCAGCTTTCCCTACAATGCTCAATCCTACTACGCATAATAGAAAAAAATGGCTTTACTATCCTTCCAATCTTTACTGTCTATCCAAACTTCTGTCTGAATCTACTATTCATACTATTATCAACTATATATCCTTTCACATTACAAATGTCAAATTTGTCACACCAGTTAGCACACACAACTACATAAACATATTTCATATGAACCAAACCGACCGAAGTGACGTAACACAGACGTAGTTAAACTTGTATTTTTTAGTGATTGTTTGATTGTACTAAATAATTTTTGCTTTATACTATTCAAATTTAATTTAATACGTTTATTTATTTTATGAAGAAGTGGCTTACATTGAGTCACAACGGAACGTCAGAAAAATCTTAAACTGTCTAGATATATTGGGATGCTATAATTATATCTTGCTTACTCTCACCCTTTCTCTTTCTCCTGGTCATCGACTGGATTATGAAGACGTCAACAACTGGAGGAAAGCACGGTATCCAATGGACAGATAGGATGCAGCTGAACGATCTGGACTTCTCAGATGACCTGACTCTTCTGTCGCACACGCAACAACAAATGCAAGAGAAGACGACCAGTGTGGCAGAAGCCTCTGCAGCAGTAGGTCTCAACATACATAAAGGGAAAAGTAAGATTCTACGATACAACACAACATGCACCAACCAAATCACTCTTGATGGAGATGCCTTGGAGGACGTTAACACATATACATATCTATGCAGCATCATCGATAATCAAGGTGGATCCGATGCAGATGTGAGGGTGCGGATTGGCAAAGCAAGGGCTGCGTTTCTACAGTTGGAAAATATCTGGAACTCCAACCAAATATCAATCAACACCAAAATCAGGATTTTCAATACAAATGTCAAGACAGTTCTACTGTATGGAGTGGAAACTTGGAGAACTACCAAAGCCATCATCCAGAAGATACAAATATTCCTTAACAGTTGTCTTCGCAAAATACTTCGGATTCGTTGACCAGACACCATCAGCAACAATTTACTGTGGGAGAGAACAAACCAGATTTCAGTGGAGGAGGAAATCAGGAAGAAGCGGTAGAAGTGGATAGGACACACACTACGAAAAGCACGAACTGCGTCACAAGACAAGCCCTCACTTGGATTCCTCAAGGTCAAAGGAAAAGAGGAAGGCCAAGGCACACATTACGCCGAGAAATAGAGAGAGATATGAGAAGAATGAACAAAAATTGGACAGAACTGGAAAGGGAAGCCCATAATAGAGTTGGTTGGAGAAAACTGGTGGGCGGCCTATGCTCCATTGTGGGTAACAGGTGTAAGTAAGTAAGTAAGTAATAACTATATCATTTCTATTATAAAACAATCCACCCAGTAAAGCTCAACTGATTTGAAATTCTGAAGTCAAACTGTTAGTATTGACGTCCATATTCCTGTCGTTGGTATTCTTCATTGAATTTCAATTAGTCGTTTCTTTTAATTTATAATTCTACTCATTAAATAAGTTAGTGACACTCTGGAATCAGTAGTTTAGCGGTTAACAAATCAGCGTTTGAAACAGAACGGTATCACAGTGTGAACATCAACACTGAGGTGTAAAAGCATTCATCTAACCATTCACAAATAGAACGAAACTCGTATTGTAGTAAAGGAGAACATAGGTGGGGCAACCAACTTACAGAGTTACTCAGTAAAATCGGAAAACCATATCGTAAATCGTTAATTTGCAAAATGTCAGTTCATCACATCGAACTGGACTGTTCCTGTTGCAAAACATCAATCCATTGTCACTCACTATTCATGCGTTTCATACAAATTCGATTGTGTTCTAACTCTTCCTTTCTTGCTTGATCTTCCCCCATCTTCTGCTGCCACCAGACATTACGTTGACACTCACGTCATATACTACTTATAAGTAGCTCGCACCACAATATCGTTTTAATTCGTTAATCAATAAATAAATAAACTTTTCGTTAAATTATGTAACCTTTTATTAAAGTGAAAAAGAAAAGCCAAAAACACAAACGTACCAGTAGCACGACTAAATCCAAAATAAATACATGCATTCCAATGAATCAATACTAGAATATAAGTAGTCAACATTGAAATACGAAATAAATTTGGTCGATTTGTACGTGTTTCAGTTCTGTCGACAAATTCAAATGATCGATAAATTTTCATCAGACGATTAAATCGTAACCATGCAGCATAATGACTAAATACTGGTATGAAATAGAATAAATCTGTTGGTAGAATTGCAATCATATCAATGATAAATTGTTGTCGTTTCAAATAGACTTGTCTTAATTTTTGTTTATCACGTACTAATAAACCTTCTTCAAGGTAACCTAATAACATTTAATGAAATAAAAGATAGGAAAATTCATGCATAATCAAAACATGACTGTGACCAGTGGAGTTTACAATTGAAAACAATAGGTGAGGTTGCACAATACCTTATAATGATCAAAGTTAGACATTAACACCGTTGGATGTCGGCTCAGTGGTCTGGTGGTCTAGAGTTTGCACCCGAAACCGAAGGTCCTAGGCATGATTCCTGTGGGTGGGGATTGGGGATACGCACTGTTAATGTATCTCATACTAGGTGGACGGCTGACTAGCGCTTCTGGATTTCTAATGGTGGTCTAATAATGATCGATTGACGATTTCAATGAAACTGAACAATCTTCGCAACTCTTTAGTGAAAATACGAATAATGGAAAAGATTTATAGTATTTCAACTCGTTTTTTAAACTTTTAACAGGGTTTTTTTAAAATAACCACATCGTTTTTAAAATTTTTTGTAATCCTTAGAATGTCAGAAATAAATAGAAAAAACAACTTGATTTCGAATGAAAAAAGAAAAAGCCTTATAAAAAAAGTTATTGAAGATGGATACAGCGTCAATGATGCGGCATTTCTTACAGATGTAAACTATCAGGCCGCTACAAATATTATAAGGTTGTTTAAAAAGGAATCGCGAGTTGAGAAGAAATTAAAAGAAGATTCATCTATAAAAACTTTTATAAACGTATCTTCAATGTTCATAAAATTTTGAGCATAAATTTGGCGTTTATTTTTACTGAATTCCTAATTTATATTGACCGATGTATAAGAAATCTTTTTCAAAGTAATCTGAAGTCTATAAATTATCCTTCTTATAGATTCAAGAGAAAGGCCTATAGAATTTATGTTTTCTATTTTTACTCGAATTTCTACCATCGTTATTAACGGGTTTAATTCTATCAATTCTTCAACAAAATTGATAATATCACCGCATATCTTCTTATTTGATGATTTTCCTGTTTTTTTTCTTCTCAACTCGCTATTCCTTTTTATACAACCTTATAATATTTGTAGCGGCCTGATAGTTTACATCTGTAAGAAATGCCGCATCATTGACGCTGTATCCATCTTCAATAACTTTTTTTATAAGGCTTTTTCTTTTTTCATTCGAAATCAAGTTGTTTTTTCTATTTATTTCTGACATTCTAAGGATTACAAAAAATTTTAAAAAACGAGTTGAAATAGTACATATTGAAAAAAAACTCATTTTCAAACACAATATTCTCACGTTTCAGCAACGATTGGCGGCTTGTTTAAACCTTCAGGATTTGTATTTCTCAGATTTAGAAATTACGATGACACATTTTTACGCTTCAGATTTGTTCTAACTAACAATTACGCCTGATAATCAGATAACACACCTATGTAAACTCCTGGAAAATTTACCCATAAACTTCTCAAAGTTTACTATGGTGTGTTTAATATGTACCAATATGCTGAGCCCTCATGGCTTGTTTTACCTTTTGGACAAACTAATTAAACTTTACTACGCAAGTTACTATTCTCACGTCTTTTAACTGTGTCAATTATTCGCCTATATCTTGGATGTCTTTACTCGGTGTGTGTACGTGTGTGTATTGATCGCTTCGCTTATCACATGTCTAGCTTACTTTTGTCTGCCTATAAATAATTACTCATGCTTCGTCGTATTGAGTTAGCTAATTCGCCTTCTCCATTCCGCTTCGCTTTACTTTTACGGTTCTTATTATCACTGTCTCACAAACATGATATTCGCCGAAGCATGATATTAAAAGAAATTGAAGGGAAGATTTATTTCATCGCATGTTCATTCTTTCGCACAAATTGAAGTCGAATTTTGGACCACAAAATTTGACTTCCTTGTTTACCCTTTACAGTACTAAATTAATGATTTTCAGTTAAAATTAGTAACACTGAAGTAAATCTCCTAACGATATAACCACCCTCTTTGAGATGGTGTGTAGCTCAGGTGGACAATTGTGATGGAGTTTCATTCTCTGAGCTGGATGTTATGGTTTGGCTTCCACTGAAGAACAAGTCTACTTTCTCCACGAATGTCTTCTTCAGTATGTTCTGTCAATAAGTATCAGATACAGATTACCAATCAACGGCCTAATGGGATGGCGAATAGTGGAGCAAAGTGAAAGACATGTGGTACATACAACTAATGATCACCCATACACACTACAAGCAATATCAAACCACCCTCTTCTAATTACCATTTATAATATGTACAATTTTACAAAACTTCAACTCACCTGTACGAGATCCAACAAATATATCAATCAAATAAACACAATCAATGCAATAGTCGATAATTAACCAAGTGATTGGACTTAATTCATGAAATTGTGTAAATGCCGATCTCATTGGTAAAACAATAGCATTATAAAGCACTGTGATTGTAACAATACCAATCCAATAATAATAACCAGCTTCGGATGAATCAACAACTAATTCTTTTAGATTACTATGAAAAAACGAAATAAAAAACAAACAAAAAACATTGAAATATAACTGTTCTGTTGTCAAAACTTTATTCTCAAGTAGAGCAAGTAGAATCTGCACTGCTGATACATTGAACGACGAATTCAAGTTTATATTACTGAGACACTTAAATCAAAACGGATATCCCGAAACGTTTATTGCTTCTTCAGAACACAACTATGACGAAGCGGATAGCAACTGATGTACCCAAGAAACCAGTGTATCTACAGTAGTTACCTTTCAAGGGTGATCATTGCATGAAAATTACAACCAAACAGACTGCAGCTGCAATAAAATAGACCTTCAATGTAGCTAATTTGAGGCTTATCACAACAACTCAATCGATCTCAGTTATCCCAATCAAGTCTCCAAGACCGATTAAGTCCAAATCCCACTGTATTTACCAATTCACATGTAACTGCGGAGAAAGTTACTTAGGTAGGACAGATCGCCGATTGGAAGACAGGATAGGGGAACATATTCTCCAAAATGGTTAATCAAATCCATGATTAATCAATCTAGCCCATCATTTCAAAATCGATCAATAAACCCAACCTCGTCCATTGCAAAACATCTAATGATGAGTGGTCATCAAATTGACCCAAAATCAACCTTTATAGAGTTGTGACATGTCATCAAAACCCACACACACTGAAACTACTCGAAGCTATCTTGATTGGTCGGAAAAGTCCAACTTTATGTGTTCAAAAACAACTGTATGTTGACCTTTGTTTACCATGGTGGTTCTAGTGAGTGAATGTCATGCTAAATAAGAAATTTTGACCTTATCTTCAAAACTGTATTTACAGGAATAACATGTTGCTTGTATGTGACTGACGAGAAAGCACGAAATGGTACTATCTCATAAAATATGTCTTCTCATTTCTCTGTTCAAATTTATCAAAGGGAACCACTGTTTTGAACATCGAAATGAGTCGAGAATGATGTTGATTTTGAAAAAAAAGAGAATGAAGCTCGAATAGATACTGTAATTTTGTAGAGATTACACACTGATTTAAGTTGGCTAAATGTTAAAAACCAGGAATCACCCAGGATGGCCATTTTGTACTGTTATTGAATTCTCCAGAAGTGAGCCAGCATGATCCCGTATCTGAGAGTCGATACCAAGAATTTCAGTCTCACTGGAGTGCTACAGTTATTAAGTCGTATTATCGACAAAATATATCAAGCGTTTTTGATAGAATAATTTTTAGATAAATTTGTTTTCCTGTTGATACTTACATTTATGGTTTAGAGTGTTTCAAAATTTATCTCTGTTTTTATAGATTTATATATCTAGTTATCCATACAACTGGATATAATGAGTGAGTCCTAAAGGAACTAAATATCAAACCCAACTAGCTTCAAGGTTAGTATGGATAGACAAGAGCTGAATTTTACATGATATCATGAAAATGGCGAGTAGGATCGCTTTTAGCTTTGTGAAGTATTCCGTTTGTGAGCACCAGGTTTCTACAGACTGTTTACAGTTCACTGATGCATGTTTGTCTATTCCAGTTAACCGCAAGTCCAGTGATGGAAGAAATCTGTTATTTTATCAAAAGGTGTAAAGTTTGCATAAGGACTAAGAGACCCATTAGTTTGAGGATGCTAACGAACCGGAAGTACCAGCTGCATCTGATAACTGCTAGAAGCTCTTTCAACTTATCCAAGCAACTGGCAGCAAGAAGTTTGGTGTAAGTGGAAAAATCTATGAAACTGATGGGACATCAGTTAGTAACATCAACTGACGTTTTGGACAATGAACAGTTTTTCAAGGAACAGTTCAGTCGGTCTGCTGCTCCCTCAGCGACATCGATCAAACTGTCCTGTCTTCTATGACCAATGTTGAGTGATCGACCTAAAGAGGCGGAAGTCCGTAAGGAACTCAAACTCTTAAAGCACTACAAATCTCCAGGTCCAGATGACCTGCCACCAGCCCTTTTTAAAGATGGTAGTGACCTTCTGGCTTTGAGACTGACTGAGTTGTTTACAACCGTTTGGCGATCAGAGTGTTTCAATATCATGAAATGAGTTGATAGTTGCCCCATTTTGTAAAAAGAGTTCTTTTATTCTAAATAACATATTCAGAGATACGTTTACTACAAACTGTGTCCAAATAAATGGCTCCCGTAATGCTTTACAGATTGTTCAAAAGAGAAAGATTGACTCGTGAAGATCAGACTGATTTTCTTTCTGGTTGAGAATATATTAATCCTATCATAGCCCTCCAGCAAGTTTTAGAGCTCTACTGTACTAACTGTAGGACAACAATCATTGTGCTCCTTGAAAGCAGGGCCGATTTAGATTGTTTGATAGAACTGTTCTCAGGGATAGTCTGTCGACGGAGTGTATTCCTGAGAATTTTATCAACGTTTTAAAGTCCGTTTATACAACGTTTGACATGGTGTCGCGATATGAAAAAATAGCTGTACTGGCGTTGCCCATGTTGGTCCTATCTCAAGTTTATAATTGGGGTTCTAGAGATGGTGCAGCTTGATGACTTGAGACATTATCAGAAATGTCTCAGCATAGAAGCCAATGACAATCCTGCTGCAATTTTCTTCCACTCTCTTCTTATAAATGATGCAAACTTCCTTAAATGAAAAAAAAATGTTTTCCGGTTGTATTTTTATTAACTAAGGTGTTTCGCCCATAATTATACAATCATTTCGACTCATTTTTCAAATTATCTTCACATTCTTAATTTATCTCTTCAAAAACACATTTTTATTGTGTAAGGTATAGATACAGATTGTTACCATTTCGTACAAATCTTTTTGATAAAATAAAAATAATTCGATTTCGTTATGTGATTTTGTATATACGTGACTTTATTCTGATTGACACTAAATGGGTGTACCGACCAATACATAAATGAGTGTACTTTTGTTGGGAATGTTAAATCCCTAGAACTCGCTTGATAAATATCTTTATTTTGGATTTATTTCATAGACCGATCAGTTGACCTCAAGATCACATTTCCCACCAGCAAAATCCTTGGCTATGATTGGTTACTGTATCATTTTAGTGTGCTATCTTTGTGACTGTCCCAAGGATGTCTCTATAGAGTATAAATAAACGCAATTTGAGTGCTTGGTTTCATTGTGGGCTGTCTGGGTGTTTGTAGAATACAATTTCTACGCTATATCAAGACTTCTCGTCAAGGGATAACAGTAGCCTACCTGGACGAATCTGTTATTGTTGTATAAGCTTGACAGGTATCTCTTTCATGTTACCGTTAACTGTATTTATAAATTTACGTGTACCTGCCAAAGCAGCCATTTTGGCCGAACCGAAAGGAGAGGATACTTTGAATTTTTTGAACATATTCCTAAAAGCTTTCAAATATAAGAAAGGTCTATCTTAAACACTGCAATCACCAGAAATCTCTTCGATACAGGACATCAGGTTGATATTTTTAAAACACCTGAGCTCTAATATTCTGAAGTTTGTTAAAGCCGTTGCCATCAGGTACCTGAAATCTGACACATTGAATTAAGTTATGATATATTGTTTGGCAACCAGTAACAAGATTCCAGTCTAATTCTACACTCATTGCTGCGGTAGGAACTTGGTGCCCCCAACTGTCCTGGTAAGGCTGAGAGTCTGCTTTCACTCTCCAACTGCCCTTATATGGCCATATGCCTATGGCGACTGTTAGGGAAGTTCGACTCACTGTCTTCTCACAACGGGGTTGTTGTTTACCGAACCGAGAGGACGAAAAGCAAGTCTTCGGACCTTTAGCATAGCGGAGTCAGAAAACCCTTAATCCAAACCAATAATGCACACCGGCTCTTGAGAAAACGAATGGAGTATAGACCTATTGTTGGTCAATGACTAACATAGGACTGCATCTTCTAACCTTTCCTTACCACCTTACGGACTAAACATTGTCTATTAGAGTCACTGACAACTTTCCTATACTATACTGATGTGTATGATCGCAACAACTTCCAACTAAACTCTTTCATGTAAGTAATTTACATTCAATTCGCCAGGATGATTTTTAAATATTCCCAGGTTGTAAGCAGCTGATATCAACCAATCAAAATAAGAATCAATCAATACAATTCAGTATAAAATAGTACCGCAAAACAAATCACTTTTATCTTTGATTTATTATTTGAATTCACCTTGGTATATTTTGAATTCTTTCACGTATTGATAACTTTTTCTTTGTTTCATCTGTAACGTTTTTGTGACTTTGATCACTTTTCTTCACGCCACTTTCAGCATCTTTATTGATTAGCAGATTTTCCACTGTTGAATCAGTTTGATTTTTGTCTCGTTTGTATTTTTTATTGAAACACTAGTGATCAAAATAGAAAATTAAAAAAAAAAATTTATTTTCACTAGAATATTTGAAAATGTTCAATGTTTTATTGAAAATATTATGAATTTCTTTTCATTTCAAGGATAAGGAGAAAGAATTTTGTGAAAATCTTATCATACAATTAGTTTGTCAATGTAATAACCAGTTTATATAGTATTGAAATATTTAAGCTCAAGATAGAATTAACGAGGATTTTAATTTAAAAAATTATGACATTATCATATACAGACTTGTGACTTATTTCGTGATGTAATACTTGAGATTCTATTAAGAAGCCAGTAGGATTCAGTCACTAGAATAATCAATCGAATGGAACTCACCACTATAAATCAACTTCATGGACTACGTGAAAGCAATCGATAGGAAAACACTATGGAGGCTTCTTTGGCACTACGGTGTGCCTGAGAAAATAGTCAACATCATACGGAATTCTTATGATGGATTTAACTACGAAATCGTGCACGGAGGACAGCTAACAGACTCATGCTAGGTGTAGACCGGTGTCAGGCAAGGTTGCATACTCTCACCCTTTCTCTTTCTCCTCATGATCAACTGGATTATGAAGACGTCAGCATCTGGAGGGAAGTACGGTATCTAGTGGACAGCTAGGATGCAGCTGGACGATCTAGACTTCGCAGATGACCTGGCTCTTCTATCGCACACGCAACAACAAATGTAAGAGAAGACGACCAGTGTAGCAGCAGCCTCTGAAGCAGTAGGTCTCAACATACATAAAGGAAAAAGCAAAATTCTCCGATGCAACACAACATACACCAACCAAATCACTCTTGATGGAGATGCCTTGGAGGACGTTAACACCTTTACATATCTGGGCAGCATCACTGACAATCAACGTGGATCCGATGCAGATGTGAGGGCACGGATTGGCAAAGCAAGAGCTGCATTTCTACAGTTGAAAAATATCTGGAACTCCAAACAACTTTCAATCAACACCAAAATCAGGATTTTCAATACAAATGTGAAGACAGTTCTACTGTATGGAGCGGAAACATGGAGAACTATGAAAGCCATCATCCAGAAGATACAAGTATTTATGAACGGTCGTCTTCAGAAAATACTTCGTATTCGTTGGCCAGACACTATGAGCAACAACCTACTATGGGAGAGAACATATCAGATTCGAGTGGAGGAGGAAATCAGGAAGAAGCGGTGGAAGTGGATAGGACACACACTACGAAAAGCATGGAACTGCGTCACAAGACAAGCCTTCGCATGGAACCCTCACGGTCAAAGGAAAAGAGGAAGGCGAAGGAACACATTGCGGCGAGAAATATAGAAAGACATGGGAAGAATGAACGAAAACTCGGAAGATCTAGAAAGGGAAGCCCATGACAGAGTTGGTTGGAGAAAACTGGTGAGCGGCCTATGCTCCATTCTGGGTAACAGGCGTAAGTAGGTAAGCAAGTAAGGGTTCAATCACGTCTGGCGTGAGGCGGTTACTCGGCAATGGCATTATCTATTATTATTATTATTATTATTGGTCGTTTACTCTGTTTTCTGAAAGTGCAGAATTCAGCGACAAATCTGGCGACTTTGTGTTTTTGATCACCGGTAGAGGTTATGAATGCATACTATTGAGTATTTTCATTCTGACGTGTAGCAGTTATTTAGTGCTTCCTAATCTAACTAATATCGGTTTATAATGTAAACTGTGATTATTGATTGTTTCCCGCTCATCGATCGAATTCTCAGTTTATGTCAATTAATAATGCATAACTGATGCATTAATCGCTATCAATCCCATTTGCGTACAAATGCAGACAACCAACAGTGGAAGCAACTGACATAAAACTTGAATATGATAGATGTAGACTGATTTAGTTTCTTATAAGTTGGAAAATAAAACTTCATTTTGTTTGAATAGGGCAGGAGAGAGGTATAAAAACCTGGTGATTTGTATCTTTCTTGAATACTTAAAAAAAATCAGCTTCTAAAAGGTCTTCTACTATTGAACTTTGAGTATAAAACAGAAAGTGAGAAGTATGTAGGGAGGTTTTACTTCCACAGTTAGTTTATTTATGCTTATTTGTAATCTCAAGATCCTGGAAGCTTATAAAAATCTTACTAAAATCAATTATGAATTCAGTACCTGTACAAGCTGGATATTTTTCTTGAAAGATTCAGATGAAGGTCAACCCGTTGAACTAATTCTAACATTTTCCTAGCTTCTAAATATGTTTTCGAGAAATTATCAAGGGCTTCTAACATCTGGTCAGCTAATAGCGATTGAAAAACTTGGTGTAACTAAGAGGCGATTTAGTTTCGGCAGTTTCATGTATTGCTTCGGTATACTAGGAATAGTGAAGTACACTGAAATGACCATTCAAAGTGATTAGGTTTCAACTTTTTATCATCAAATGTAGATTCTACTGACAATATGTTATCATAAAATTAAAGAACTCAACACCAACAAATAATACAATGGATGATTTACAGTTGTGGAATGTCAACTTTCTACCGAAAGAAGCATTATTTTGGATATGTGCATATTTGTCAACCAAGGTTCAATTCAATGCTTGTTAGGAATAATTAAAATCAGATATACAGAGATTTACCATATAGGTTTTGTCGCAGTTAGAACTGATTAAATACATTATTACAAAGCCAATGATAACTGCTTTATTAGTCATATGGGATGAAGATAACTAAGCAGGGATTATTTTCAACAGTTTGCTGAAATCACAAACTAATCTTGGTCAGACAACTATCCAAAATATGAAAGTATTGGAGAACTGTTTTGTCATAGTATGAGGTATTTCTTCTGCAGTGAGCATCTAGAACCATACAATGCAGAATCGAACCTGTGACTTTTGGTTTCACACGTTGTATAAGTTTAATTTCAATCAAATTGTTTGATACTGCTTGACCATCTTTCATTGTTGTCATTGACTACCTTCCTGACACCCAATACAGTTGGACTCCATTGGTTACAGTTTCTCATCATCATTTTCAAGTCTAGATTTCTGATATAACTTTTCTTAGACAAACTAACTCAATACAAGATTCAAGTAATTATGATAAGTGTTTCAGTTAGAGCTTTGGAGATTAGTGTTTTTTACACATTTGAAATCATCAATCAATCATTGTTAGACCACCATTAGAAACCTGGAAGCACCGGACGGCCGTTTCGTCCTGGTATGGGACTCATCAGCAGTGCGCATCTACGACTCCTGCATCTCACATGATTCGAACCCGGGACCTTCGGTAATATGGTAAGTGATATACATACTCGTAAAATAATCATTAAACGCCAAGAAGACGTTACATCGTTATGACGTTTTCATTTATTATTTACCACTTAGAAATTTGATATTGAACTGGGTACTGACAAAGTAGGTTGTTCAGATTACCGAGTTTGTGTAAATTTGAAGATAAGAAGAGAATTATCTAACTCTTTGTATATACGGACCTTAACGATCTAATCGTAGAAAGGACCATAGCTTTTATGTGATTCTGAGACTCTCCGATTTTTTGATAAGATAATAAATGAAAACTTCCATGAATTGTATTTCAGCTTATTCAAAGAGTTAGATTTGTCACATAGTAAATGACCTTGATTTTGATTGGCTGAATATTATTTAGATGTGATCCTTATGACCTTACACAAACTACTCATTAGTGTGCGTGCCTACATTTAAAGTATATAGAATATCTATTCATTCAGGCTGTGACAAACACCATTCAAAGTTTATATTTCAGTCTACAGTTGTGTTAGTTGGTGATTACTCGGTTAGATAAATGCAGATTGTTATCGTATACTTAGAATGGTAATAGCATGAAATAACAACTGAACCACAACGCAGAATTTAGCGAACTATTTTCAACCTTGTGTGTAAAAATCAGAAAGAAGCCGATTGACTTTTATATTGTATCCTAAAAAACAATTTTGGCGTTGAAATACTTTTGTTTGAGGCTTAAAATGTTTGAAAGTGATAGGAAAAGTTGATTTTAATCACTATCAAGTCAAGCAGTTGATAGGTGTACTGCTGTTATTTTATTCTTTTGCTATGCAAATTGTACATTGAATGTAAAGCATTAAGACTGACGATAGTTTACTTTGCTTATAGTAAATCCTTAGATGAATTGACATCATATGATCAGTGAGTCACTGAATTATGAGCGAGTTATTGATTTAGAAATGTTAAAATAGAAAATGATTATTATGAATAACTTTCTTGTTGTCTTATAAACTGTTATGTTCGTCACTAGGAACGCTTGAAGCTATTACGAGTTCACCTTAGTCGATATACGTGAACGAGACAATTACCAGCGTCCAGATATGCTACCTTGGATCCCAAGCTGTAGACAGAAGTATTTGTAAGCGTAGAAAGTATATTCTACAACATCCAGCAATCACAATACAATCAAGCACACAACTCTCGTTTATTCATACATCATAGAAACGTCCTTGGGACAGTCACGAAAATAGTACACTAAAATACACAGCAGCCAATCACAGCCATGGGTTTTCCTGATGGGAAATGAAATCTCCAGGTCAACTGATCAGCCCATGCTCACAAACGTGAAATCCAAAATAAGGCATTTATCAAGCAAGTTCTGGGGATCTAACATCCCAAACATAAACCAATTCCTATAACAGATCAATTTGTCTGTTAAGGTTTTGCAGTCGATTGATGACTATAAGTATGATCCAGGAGGAAGCCTCTTTACGTGACTTCATTCATACTGACATATTAATAAGGTTATGTAATGAGATTTATATGATGTGAAAATATGTAGATAACTGAAAAACCTTGACTATCAATTAAAATCTTTCAAATCAGTAAACTGTACTGTTTCATGGTTGACCAGTTTCAATTAATTACAAACTTTTAATTCATTGGCCAAAAATATCTTCCAAATCTCAAGGTCAATTGACGTGGTTGTTTTTAGTTCGTTCTGATATTGTACTTTTACGCTAAAAGATTTAGTGATTTTGCCTTCGCTAGGTTAGATCGTTCCATGGAATATGATTGTAAGAAACGGAAACTGATAACACTACTGGAATTATTCAGTCGAACAATTAATATGTTCAATTATTCTGATTTACTGACAGAGTTAAGTCAATTCTATGCTAAACTAAATTAAACACAAAGTTCAGATGAGTGATACACATTGATATGTGATGTTATTTCGAATAAATAAACTAAAAATAAATTGGATGAAGTGAGGAAGCAAATGTGAATCATGCTTTATGATTCAATAATTTAAATGTAGGGATATTGTCGCTAACTCAGGTCTCATATGTTCGAAAAATGAAAATTTCAGTATTGCGAATCAATCATTAACTGACATGAAACAAAAGGTAATAAGAGTGTTTGCGCTCATTAGCATGAAGCTGGGCTGCATCTCTTGCGATCCTATGTCATACTATATATATATATATCATATGCTATACTGCTATACAGAGCTGAAGGTTTCCTATGAGACCAGAGGTTCGCTGTGAACATTATGGATGGCTTGGCATTGCTTTGGCAAGTATTGCTAACAGTCCATATACAAATTCGTTTAGCAGGGGGACTGATTTCATCGATCCCGCTAGTTGTTTTACAACATTCCAGATGGCCACATCCCCATTGCTAATAATAATGAGTTTGACAGTCATATTGTGGTAGTGTGGTGCGAGCTACTTATAAGTAGTATATGACGTGAGTGTCAACGTAATGTCTGGCAGCAGCAGAAGATGGGGGAAGATCAAGAAAGGAAGAGTTAGGACATAATGGAATTTGTATGAAACGCATGAATAGTGACAATGGATTGATGTTTTGCAACAGGAACAGTCCAGATCAATATGATGAACTTATATTTTGCAAATGAACGATTTACGATATGGTTTTCCGATTTTACTGAGTAACTCTGTACTTTTCGTTCAATACAATCCGGTTGCCCCACCTGTGTTCTCGTTCACTACAATAAAAGCGGGATGAGTCAAATTGGCCTGTCCATGCTGTGCATATTGATTGACGACTCAATCATGGATCAGAAATAAACACTAAACATGTACTAGTGCATGTATAAATGGTGTGAATGGTCCACCAGGATGTCATATACCTGTATGGTTCTCGGTCGTTCTTTAGGACATTTACTGATAGCTTTCTCATTAGGTTGTTTCCAACAGGTTTAGTGTATTATCGATAACCATTCTGCAACTATTTATTTAAACTTTCAGATGAATAATTCATGGTTTCAATGAAAATGCATAACTTCTAAAATCATGTCAAGAATTTGATCGATGATGTTGCATTTAAAAGAAACTTTTTGAATCAGATTAGAAGTAAAATAGTGAACCTATGGAAAATTTAAGTGTAATGTACTAACCGTACGAAGTAATACCTCTTAGTTACATTTTCTAGTGAATTAATAAACCTTGAAAGCATCTATCTCACTGAATAATTAAAACATAGCTGCAATGTTAATTTGTCCTTATTGTAATTATATTTCATTTAGCTACAGACGCAGTTTTATTCTCTGAAACAAAACAGAGTGAAATAACATATCAAAGTATCCATTTTTAATTGATGCTTATGCGCTAAAACAAAATTGTATTCATATCACGTACAAATCACGCAATTTGTAAATTAATTTTTTAAAAGAATCCATTTATATAACCGATATCATCAAACAAAAATCTATATCATCTATTTAAAATAACAGCTCGATAGGCAGGCGATAAATAATATATTTAAAAGGAAATTATATTTCCTAAACATCTCGGGAAATTTAAATAGAAATTAGGTCCGAAGTTTTTTTTAGCCATCATTCTGTAGTGAACGAGAACACAGGTGGGGCAATCGGATTGTATTTAACGAAAATTATAGAGTTACTCAGTAAAATCGGAAAACCATATCGTAAATCGTTCATTTGCAAAATATCAGTCCATCATATGGAACTGGACTGTTCCTGTTGCAAAACATCAATCCATTGTCACTATTCATGCGTTTCATACAAATTCCATTGTGTTCTAACTCTTCCTTTCTAGATCTCTCCCCATCTTCCGCTGCCAGACATTACGTTGACACTGACGTCATATACTACTTATAAGTAGCTCGCACCACAATTCGAGCTACCATGGTGAATTATGTATTATGCGGTTGTGGAGATTGTTGTGTTACTTTTCTAAAATCATGAATCGGTCAGTGTTAGATCAGCATTAGAAACCTGGAAGCACTGAGAGACTGCCGTTTTGTCCTCATATGCGACTTATCAGTAGTGCGCATCCATGACCATCGCATGCGGGATAAGAATCCAGGACCTCTGGTCTTGTGCGCAAATGCTTAAACTCGAGACCACTGAGATGGCCAGCATCCAACGGTTAGTGAAATCCTCAAGAACTTCGCCATTTCGACCAACGTCACATTTTTGTGTGAATGACAACTATGCGTTTTTGTACTTAAATTGAGCAACCCTAACTAGGGTAATCAACACAAACATATCTATTAATTAGTTGTCATCCCACGCAAACTCTAGTAAATTCAATTTTTTAATATCTCGAAAATTCATCTCATTCTTGACCACAACTAGGTATGTTCAATAGGCACTTTTTCATTACATCATATCTGCATATACATATTTACAATGTTACCCTTCACTATAATCTAACTAAATTTCACGCGAATTCAATTGAATTTCAAATGATTAAGCAACTATTTATCATTGAAGACAGTTTGTAAGGTTGCGCAAGACTGTGAATTAACTGAAGTTAGACATTAACACCGTTAGATACTGGCTCAGTGGTTCAGAGGTTAGACGTTCGTGCTCAAAACCGAAGGTCTCGGTCCTACGAGTAGCGAAAGTCGTGGATGAGCAATATCAATTGTTCTTGGAGCACCAACTCAACTATCCAGGATTGTCAATATTTAGACAGTTTAAATTTATCAGCTTTCACAACACAATAAATGTAATTGGAAGACTACTACAACATAAATCTACATTTAGTCACGGAATCGGTTATCCATATTAAGTAAGTTTACCATGAACAAAACAACTCACTGGATAATGCACTGTAATTTGACGTAATAAGTACTATTTTGATGTTTCAGTATGAGTTTTCAATTGAAACGAGATGGGCATTTTGGAAGGCGCTTGGAACCAGTGAAACACTTTGGATGCAGGTTAGACTACTTAGAATAGATTCAGGAGAGCTGCTATTATACTCTGAACGGGAAGAAGAAAATGCCTCAAACACAAGGAGTTGCAGTGATGCTGTCTAAACAAGCACAAAGGCACTGATAGGATGTGAACCTCAAGGACCTAGGATCATCAAAACATCCTTTAAAACAAAGAAAGACGGCATTACAATGAATGTCATCCAATGCTATTCACCTACCAATGACTACAACGAAGACGTTAAAGATCAATTCAAATTATTTAAACTCTCCCCAAGGTGTTAGAATGTCTTAATTTAGAAGTGTTCTGATGCTGCATGTTTAAAATCGAGTTCCTTCGGAAATCACAAGGCCGATGCCCTTTCTGATAACCAAAGCAGCCATTGATTTACGGGCATAGAATGTTCGTACAATATAAAAGACCGGTAGATTGATCCAAGTTGCTTTCTGGTCGGTGGCCTATCCTCCATCGAGGGGTAACAGGCGTAAGTATGTGAGCAAGTAAGTAAGTACGTACATGAAACGCTTAAAAATACAAAAGTAACTTGTATATTTAATAATAAAAACATAAATGGTACAGCTTTTATGAGACATATTTATTTTATACAAAACTTACAAAAATCAATCTTTTCATGATGGATGATTTCGATTGAGATTCTAAATTTTTCAAATCTACATCTGTTGTTTCTTTAGTGTCAGCCATGTATAATACTTGTTGACATATCAATTTGTTTTTTACTTTTATTTATTTATTTTCAATAATACATAATGATATAATGATGAAATGGTTTACTTTTTAAAACAAAGTATGTGATTCATAGTTCAATGTTCCATAGACATAAGTCAATTCCTAGCATATTTTAAAAACAAGACTGCAGAAACGTGGTGAATCGAATAAGGCATATATATATATATATATATATATACACATATAAACGATGCTACTGTAATTCATCCCATGTACTGGTCTTCATCATGCATGGTTGTTATAGTAACGATGATTTATATGCCTATATCGGGTGTGCCATATTAGTAAGTATACAGGCGTGGTTGGGCAATGTGATTATAGTATTGATTTTTATTTCATCCACCTTTGTTTCGAGTAATTTCTGTCTTGGAGACAATGAAAACTATGAGAGGATTCATTGAAAAGTTTGTTTTTCAGTGTGTTAATTTTAAAAACCGATGAATTGATGATAATTCATTGCCATCATTGATCGATGATGCATGATTTCAATGATATACACATTGATAATTCAGTGTTTACTCCTTTTTTTTATGGCGACGATGAACAAATGGTGACGTAATGATTTTATTGATAATGTCACATGGGTATCTTCGAAAAAAAATATTGGGCTGTAACTCAACGGGAAGAATTAGGATTGAAGCACATGATTGTGGTATGTATAAAGTTGATTCTTGAGATCATAAACGAATTGAAAACAATCGTTACAAATATGGACAGTCGTTTCGTTGTAGCATGAGCTTTCTTAGTATCGTCGCTTCAGCGATCGAACCCAGAAACCTTGACTCCACACACACTATATAGATGAGTCCTACACTCGGATAGACATGCATAACAAATTAGAAGAAAAATGTTTTATCCTTCAAATAGTGATCAATATGAAAACACAGTGAGTAGTACATTGTTATTTATCGTGACTGCATAAGCTACTAACCTCGTAAATCAGTGTTTAAAAGTGATGTATTGCGCTGGCGTCTTATTTAACAAAAATGTTCCTGAGGAATCCCAATACAAAGATGAATCTTATAGAATTTATTCTGTTGTTAACCAATATGTATGTAAACCAAATAATTGCATTGAAGTTGTAGGTATTTATCTAAAGTGACTTTATATGATCGAATAGTGAGCCTGTTCAGTTCTAGGCAAAAGCAAGATTACAAAATATATAAACTTCGAAATAATAATAATAATAATCAGTGTATTCACTGTTAGTAGTAGTCGTTATTAGAAATTTACAGATCATTAGTGCAATTAGTTCATATTGCTTAAAGCGATTGCTCAGAGATTTTTTTTCATCATCTGAAATAAATTGAACAGCCAGTAAAAAAATCAACAAGATGGCGCATATTTAAAAATATACTTTTGTGGTGTGTGCTACTTATACGAACGATATAAGTAGTATAAAAAGGGACGTGAAAGAAGAAGTCTCACAGTCAGAAGAGGAAAATGGAAAGCAAATGGAGCAAAAGCAACAAGTAAATGGAGTACCAATAGGAAGTAAAGGAAGCAACAGTGGGAATGCAAGAAGGATGGAGCGTTGGAAATCACAACTCAAAGATGGTGTGCAAATAGAGTGTGTTCAATGTAGTGTTTTCGTTTTTAATTGACTAAGTGTGTAAATTTGCATAATGCAATCTTCCGCGCCTGCCTCAGTCTTCTCACTTTGACTAATATCGAAAACCATTCTAATCAAAAGTTGGATATTTATACTTTTTGGATGGATACGAATTGATTCAAAGTGGATTATAAAGATCATTTTAACAGCTATGTTCAAACGCATTTTTTTTCAAAAAAATAAAGGTGTTTTCCTAACTAAATTATAAATATATACATACATATGTATATAGTCCTTAAGATATGCAGAGATTCATAATATGCGTGTGTAATTTCGGACAATTAGATCTTATTCAAAGTCATGGTTAACTCTCCCAGTAGCCTTTATGGGGTTACTAAAAAAAAATGAAGGTTCGGCATGCAGTTGGCGACTTCACCCCGTAGAAAACCAACTGACACATAAACCCTAACCAAAACTAACAAAAAGTAAGAAAGAAAGTAACTTCCCTGTCTGATTGAAAGTCAAACTGATCTACTACTTTGTAATGATCGATTTCAATTTGTCTAAATCTCAGAGTTTAGAATAAAACGAACGTAACATTAGACATCATACAGTAATCACTCAATATTTAAAGTATGCATATTTTTATTTAAACCCATTGTGGCGTAAATTTAGTATTGTCATCCATCTATTCACTAACAAAACATTTCCACACCTTTCTCATTGGGACAATCGTACTTATCTTCTTAATTTGGTATGATTATACATATACATATATTTCCATAAACTTTGAGATCATATAATTGCAAACCGTAAATGATCGGTTCCACGATCAGGTAAACTAAATGGGGCAGAAACACAGGTGTATGAGCTTTGTTAAGGCTGCTTTTAAAGTCATTCTATATTGTATACTCCCTATGATCTTCTAATTCTACATAATCAGACAGTCCGTTATTTACAACGTAGGACTTCGTACGTAAGTACATAAGTCCAGGTTGCCATACCTCATTAGCACAGAGGTGCAATGGTCAGTTCAAAAGCCATATTAGTAGAGATAGTTGAAGCATTAGCGGTAACGAAGAAGATTAGAGTTAGAAGATTTTATTCAAGAAGTAGAATCTAGTGAAATAAACTTAATACGGAAAGATAAAGGCTATGAAGAATCCAGAGGATTAGGATTTAAGAGGACACAAAGAATGGGTGCACCTGTGCCATTGCAAACAGTCTTGATCCATGTCATTCAGGGTCGAATATTATCGTCCCGCGGACCCCATCCAGGTGGTCTACACCTACTAACATGATTCAGTTCAGTTGTCAGTGACTTCATGGATTTCTTCCATCTTTTGGTTTGGCCACCCTTCGCTTTCTTCCAACCTACTCCTACATTGCAAAACATAGCTCGACGAGGTAGTCGATGGTTAGGTATACTCAACACATGTCACAACCACTTCAACTGGTATAGTTTCACTACTTCAGCAAATTGATTTGCCATCCATACCTAGGACCCGTTTCCTAACAACAGCATTGCTTACTCGGTTGTCCCACGATACACGAGCAATTCTCCGGAGAAATCTATGGTCGAAAACAGGCAACCTACGAATATTTTCTACTCACACTGACACAATATTTCAACATACTCAGTGAATTGATAGATATTTACCCTTTTATTACACTTTTTGTAATGTTGTATAGTATGACTAAATTACTTGATTAGTATAGAGATACTAAGACTGTGACTACGTGTTGATATATAGCTTCTCATGAAAATAAATTAATCGACATTGGTGAAAATTTTCGAAAGAATAATTTACAAATCATTGAAATTTCACATCCAATCAAATTCAAATCGTAATCATCCATCTGTGTTACTAATTTTCTTCAACCATAATCAACTAATTAAATCTTACATAGAAATGATTTACAACCAATTACATAATAATTATCTTATTCGGTAAAATGTATGACGCTGGACAAATTGAGCATATATTTCATTAATATTTAACCCTCTATCAGTTTCTTCTCTGAAATATACTTCGTCAGATCTTCGAAATTTACCCTTAGGGGTATTAAATAAATTCACAATCGTTTTAATGTCTGCTGATATACGTAAGTGATTTCAAGGTGTTTTGGAGTAACTAAAAATTCTCACCAAAAGTACATACTACTAATGAGTAGCTTAAGTACCGTTGTATTTTTTTTCTAGCAATCTGAAGAAAAACGTTAGTCAAGTTGTCAAAACGTTTACAAAAAAGTTAATGACTTAAAAGAAGAGACAGATGAGTAGTAAGAAAATTATTGATCAATTTCCTAAATGTTTAAATAATAAAATAATGTTAAACAAGACAGCAAATGTACGTGACATTTATTCACTGTCGGAGATGGAAGATGGTTACGCATTGCCATGTATTTAATTAATTAAGATATGTACACCAATTGACGGCAGGTCAGTGGTTTGGAGTTTAGGCATTTGTACTCGAGATCGATGGTCTCGAGATTGGTTTCCGTACTTGGTGGTGTGGAAGCTCGCCGCTGAATAATTCTATATCGGGACGAAACAACTGTCTGGTGCTTTCAGGTTTGGAATGGTGGTCTATCTAAGATCAGTTCTAAATTTCAAATCTATAAGATCGAGTTAGTAATCTGTGATTATGATTTTAAATATCACACCCATCGGATGTGCATATTTTCGAGGACTTGTATAGGCTTGACAGATAGGCGTTAAAAGGGATAGATATTGAATTGTAATTTCAATGAACATACCAACATTGTGATGTTGATCCACAACTAGTGCATTGGAAGTCACTAGAAAACATTCTAATCCAGAATAACCACTTGTTTTACATCTTACAGGTGCAATTCATCAGAATATTGTTTCGCCAAGTAATTTTAGTAGTGAAATGAGTATTAATATGAAATATTAGATGGGTGGGAATGGCCATTATAAAGACTATTGACCAAGTATTCGTGCTAATCTCCCTTCCTTAGCAAGATGCACCGACAGTCTAGTTGATGAAGGGGCTCAATTCGGGATTTGAAGCCCCATCAATCAAGTTCAGCGAAGTCCACGCGATTTTGAATCACTGAGACTACTGGCTATTCGATAACGTGACCAGCTGAATTTTGTCAGCACTAAAGAACGTTGACATTTGTCGTTATTTAATGATTAATCTATTGGAAATAATTATGTTAGCCTCTTTAGAACGTATTTGAAGGGCGATTAATTATTGCCGACTTCACATTCATCGTTAAGGGAAACATTTTTAATGACCAAATATATAGCATTGATAATAATTGTAATATCTCCAATTGGTATTCACTGTGTAATTAAGCTGAAGATAACTGAAAATACACAATTTTTTTAATAGAAATTAAAAAGATCTGTTGATGTAGACCTTAGTACGTC